TTGAGGGTATTTAATTTAATGTAAGTTGATTGGATGCATACTCTACCTGGCATTTGCAGACCTGCACAGAAAAAGACCCACCCTGCCCCATCATTTTAGTGGAGAGATTTGGCTTTGAAATGAAGAAACGATATGACCAGACTGAATTACAATTACTTTTGAGCCCGGCTGTGTTACTAGTTTCCGATAATGTACTCAGATCCACCAAAGATAGGCATTTAAGTCAAGGAAAACTTACGCTAAGTTCATTGCAAGTAGGTTCATCGTCTATCGACAATTATCGAAATATTTTGAACACATTATCTATATTTTACAGATTCGTGGACATGCGATGTTTTCCGATGTTGGTCAATCTCTTGACCAGGACACCGTCGAATATGCCTGGCTAGTGGAAATTCAACTAGGAAAATTAAGCGGCAAACTGACTACTCCTCAGCTCTATTCCATATTGACTAGTTTAGAAACTCTATTGTTATTAGTCGTCGACGAAGAGAACGAGTTGAACTCTCCATCAGATGATGCAGTGTTATATCAACCGGTGGTGAAGAAAAAAGAACCAAGCACACAGAACGTTCATGTACAGCATGTTCAGCAAGGTATGTTTGTACTAAAAATACTTTTTATCGACCTCAGGAAATCACAATTTATGACAATTTGGCAATTACAAGCAAATATGTTTCGAAACATGTAACCTTGCCTAAAAAAACCGTTGTTATGCAGTTAGTGCTGGAGTATGTAGGAAATTTCAAGATCGAAATATCACATTTTACTTCACGTATCTCGTTTCTTTGTACTAATAACGATCACATATGCAAATATGCATATATTTCTGATAGTAATTGTCTTATAGACTCTTCATACATCTTGTTTGAGTACATAATAAAAAATTGGAATAAAAAAAAATAAAAATCCTTACACCTGAGCGGGTGTGGCCACACCCGAGGTCCAGCAAAACACCTGTTTGAGTCGGAGCACTTGGGTCGGAAGCGACACGGGTGGAAAACCCGTAGCTTCGGAAAAAGCGAAAAGCCCGCGATTGGTCACTAACACGCGATTTTGTCCAACGAGGTTCGCCAGCCACCAGGGGCGCACGAACGCGATCGAAAAACAAACGACGCGTCACAAAACTGGGTTTTAAGAAAAAAACAGTGTTCTGGGGACTCTGCCCACTTTGCGAAACGTGAGGGTCAGAGGAAAGCCAAAGAACCAGAACTTTGGTTGAGCACAACCACGAACCGAAAATACCGAAAAAGGCGAAAGCGTCGGTACCCTCGAAGCTCCTCAGGTCACAACCAAAAAATGGCTAAAATTCAGGGCGTCATCCCGCTCGATCGTAGATCGCGAAGCGAGTTCATTCACCGTTTTTTAACGACTGCCGCTGCCCCCGAAGTGTACGCCTTAGGTACCCTTTTTTGTGGAGTCGCCCTCTACAGGACAATGATCTGCCCATCGCCACTTTTGCTGTGCTATTCGTTAAACTTATCGAATTCCCCATTAACTGGTGTAGAAAACCCAGCCGGGCATTTTTGCACTCTGGACGAGTCAATTATGAAGGGATTTTGACAATCTTGACACCAGATTGTAGCCAGATAATGGAACTATCTGGCCGTGAAACCTCATTAACTAATTAAGCAATTAATTAATTAAACATAACATTAATTATTTTGAGGTATCTCAATTGAAGGTCAAAGTCAAAATTTTGTCTTTGTTGCCATAAGAGCTCATGTAAACGAAATTGTCTATCGAAAAATCGGTCGAGGCAGCGACTGTTTTTTAGACACTTTGTCAAAGAGTTTGATATTATTCGGCGATTTTGACATTCAAAACGCAAAATGAAAACTTTGCTTCCATGAGAGTTTGTGTAAAGCGAAACATTTAATGTTTCTAGCTAACAAACGAAGAGCTAGTGGCACGTGCTTTGGTACATTATCGATATTGTAACGGAAATGGCCTGGAGTACTCACGTTTGGAATGGGGGATCGAAATTCATGGTATTTCAGTAAATGGAGCCCCATTTGGGCCCCTTTTACTGTCAAATATGACACTGACAAGCGGGAAGTTTCGCACCTGTTCTGGAGATTTCTAGAACTATCTGGGATACCTGGAGAAAACTATATAAGCGACGACGAGAACCAGACGGGAGGAGTAAAGTGACAGGAGCGACCGGGTGCAGAAGAGGTTAAGCCCCACGAGTCTGAAGAGCGAGTTTTCCGTGTGTTTTTGTTATTGTTTGTGAAGTTGACAGTAATTTTGAAGTTAGTTTGTTCCTGTTCCGTAGTTAGAGTTCCGTAGTAGAGAGTACAGAGTGGAATAAAAGTTGGAAGCAGAAGAAAGAGTTTGATACTCGGCCATCCACGGTACAATATGTTTTTGCTAGATTAGATTAACACTCTAAAGTTTGAATTTTCCCAAAACTGTGGGACGTAATGACGTCATCAAGCCTATACTTGGGGAGGAATTAAAAAAAGAAAAAGAATTCAAGTGTAATGGATTGCTTTGGATCAGTAAAGAGTTCTTAAGTCAAAATCTGACCGAAATTTGACATCACAAAATTGGGAAAAATTTCGTCAATTGCTCGCTTATCGTAGCTAAAAAGTGAATACCAACTTTTTTTTGGAGCTTTAGACGGCCGACTGACCGGACTGATTAGATTCAGTTGAACTCTTTTGGTTATCGATATATTTGCAATTTTTCGGAAACTCGGGGATTTTCTGAAAGCTATGAAAGCTGGAAAGTTGAAAAAAATACTGTTATAGTGCTCGATGGGTCTGAGATTTTATAAAGAATTACTTTTTTCCAGACAGAAAGCTTCGTTTTTGTGAAAAAAATTTTGAAATTTCGGAAAAATTGCAAGGTTTCAGCACCAAAGTTTTTGGCAAAATTTACTTATTTTCGAACTATTCCTTGCCATATGGTTAGATATGGGAAAGTTACATGACAAATCAACTGGTTGGTTCAAAACAAATTTCCTCTGTGAGCTACAGGGGGAAGACGAAAATGTTTGTAAAGGCGGTTATGGAGGGAAAATTTTAAGAATTTAAATAAAATTGTCAAATGACATTAGAATTGGTTCAGATTAACACCAATTAGTATTGAGACAAAGACAAGTTTGAACTCCATGTCAAATCAATTCGGTTAAATGGAAGAAACAAAACTGCTTCTAACTCCATGTAATCGGTAAATTGTGGTACCGATCAACTGAAATGCTTTCCAAAAATCAGAAAATGATGATGAATCGATTCTAGTTAGACCGAAACATAATAGATGTGGTTAATGATTTTTGAATGTCATAATGAGAAACTAAGTTTCCGGTTTTAGCCAGACCAATGAATCGAAAAAATGTTCGAGCATTTTCGACTTGTCCACGTTTTTATGTAAACAAAAATTTCGAAAAATTCAATGATTTATTTCAATGAGCTGGCGATGACATAGGTTGGTAGCGGGATAACGAAGCTTTAAAATTGAATGAAACCGATTGCAACAGGATAAAAAGCTGATTCGAGTTAAAGTTGGAAACCGACTTTGAGTATCAAAAATTAAGGTCAAATTTGGCATTGGATATTGTCAAATATGCGAACTGATATATTAAAAATACAGATTAACTCGAATATGCAATAAAAAATACGAAATTTCATTAAAAAAAGGAAATTTGGTCTGGTGTTATCTTCAAATAAAGTATATATATGGAAGTGATTGATATGCAGAGTAATGCCGATTTAAACAATTTCTTTTTCTCAGTAAACATCGAAATTTTTTATAAATCTTATGGGAGCCCTGAAAATTTTCGACTTTTGACCAAAAAGGCAAAGGAAATAATGTCTCTGTTCGGAAGGACGTATGTTTGCGATCAATTATTTTCAACCATGAAATTAACCAAAAATTACCACCGATCAATACTGAGTGATGACGATTAGAAAGCTGCGTGCGTGTCTCAGCTACCTCATCAATTCCGGCTGATATTAAGCAGCTTGTATCGATAAAACAGTACTAAATCGACAAATTTGTCACTAATAATTTAAAGAAAATTCGTTTTTTGATTCTTTTTCTCTTTGTTTTTAGTTTGCATTAAAATGTGTATATAAAATGTTCACTTTTTTTAATTATTTTTTTTGTTCTAATCTTTATTATGAATAAAGTTTGTCCTTTTTCCCGTTTTGTCCCAATATTCTGATATCACAGCTTCTGATATTCTTCCAAACAACTTCCAATAATCAGACTATGAAAAACTTCCTAAATGTAATTCCAATAATCATTTACCTTCATCTATTTAGTGCCCGAAACAGGCCTTTTAAAGTCTAATCTAACTGGACTATTCCTGGCTTGGATTCAGGTTCTGTTCTGGCATTGTTTCCAAAAATCAAAATTTCATAACGAACCAGTATACATTTTTTCTCTAAAATATATACTTACTTTTAGTAAGTTTACTTTTTTCACTTTTTGGTTCTTTATGCAAATAGCACACCTTTTCAAGCTGGCGCACCTCGATATTTTCAATACCATTCACGGGAGATTCCAACCTAAGTTGCTTATGCAACTTATGTTATATATGCTATGCTATAACTGCTTATGCTTAGGGCATAAGCATATATGCACCTTTTGATAATTATCGACTTAAGTTTTCGGTAGCAACTTATGTTATATATGCTATGCTATAACTGCTTATGCTTAGGGCATAAGCATATAGGCACCTTTTGATAATTATCGACTTAAGTTTTCGGTAGTAATGCACACAAAATAGCGTGGGTCAACCGTCGCGACTAATGGCAAGTTCGAATGTCAAAATACCAAAGAAACATTTTTCAATGTTCTTAAATACCTTAACAATGGTAGGGTTGTGAACATGTCTTTTTGCAGACATTGGTTTGTTTTTTTTTGGTAACATAGCATTCTTATTTTCTACTTTCATAAGTGCATCTGTGTTATAACTATTCTAAAATTTTGGTTTAAGTTAATCTACTAGCAGGTTTCATAAATATATCGATATGTTCTTCTCTTTATAGCCATCCAGCATTTACTTCAACCGAAAAACAGTGGGACTAGTTTAATGTCTAAAAATCCAAGTATGATTTCAAATCAGAGCAAAGCAGAACAAAAAAATAAAAAAAGGGATGGCGAAGAGAAAGTTAGAACTTCGATCAGAATACCTACAACATCGCACGATGATAGCAATCAAACTAACAGTAGCAGTAGTAGTTCAAATATAACTTATTCAGAACATAAGTTAAAATACAAGCTGGTTCGTGTGGCAGTTGATGCAGTCGATTTTTGGTTGGTTGAAAGTGGAGCCGCTTTACAATTATGGGTAAAATATGATGCTCTAAATCTAGTTGAATTTGAAGTAAAGTGATGTATTTTAGCTTTCCCCCGTTCGACTTGCTAGTTGCAATCTTCATGGTAAACTAGTTAGTTCGGGACTTTCGTGCATAATTTACAGCATGTCCTTAAGGCAGCTCGTTTGGCATCCACATAAGTACAACCATAGCAAGTAAGTTTTTATTTCCTTACCATAAAATAGAACTATTGTGACATGTGCGTGAGTCGAACCTTTGTTTAGGCAAAATATGGATTCGCTCGATTTATGGCTTGAAGTGGGAGCTGTAAATTTCGGACCTTTAATAATTGAGTCAGCAATATCTACCGACATTAAGGAACAAAACATGTATCAAACCCAGCAGAAATTTCTGAAAATGCACGACGATAAGTTAAAGAAGTTGTGGTTTTTATGGCCTGATCTGAACAAGACCTCTGGCAAATGTGGCTGCACCGGTGGGTGTATGTTTTTCGGAAACAATAGAAATGGGCCGAGATTTTTCAAGCCCTGCAGAAAAGATCTAGAAGAAGGTGTCAATATTGCAGCTTTCAGGTACACATAGTAAATATGTTTTTACTTGTATTAAACGTACATTTTACAGAATAAGTGAACCAGGACGGGATCCAGGTTACGGACAAAGCATTCTTCATGGAAACGCTTTGATTTTCCGTACACCACCATACATTATTAACCAGATAACACTTCAAGGAAGTTTCAACACAACTGAAAATGCGCCAAATGGTAGTAACCCAAGACATGTGGAAAAAGAAAAATCAGTGGAGCAAGATGGGCAACAAAATAGCATATTGAGTAACAGCGAGCGAAAGAACAGTCTACGATTTTCTTCCACTTCTATAAAGTAAGAAAATTATTGCATTTATTTTGCATTAAATTCTTCAGATATGACTCTTGGTGGTTACTTTTAGAAGCACAGTTACAAAGGAAGTGCCATATTCACGTCTCGTAGACACCAGTCCTTTAAATCTCCCCACAAAACTTGATAGCGATTCAAAATTGCATTCCGATAAATCTAAACTGGGCGTCATAGAAACAGCTGAGCTGCAACCTAAAAACAGCGCCTCAGATTCTAAGTTGGCAGTGGATTATTTCACAACCACTTCGGATATCAAGAGTGAAGTGTCCTCAATTAAGAGTGATATTTTGAATATGAAAAGCGACATTTACGGACGAAATGCAATTGAGAGTACTACTCCTCAAATGTCAGCTAGTTTTAATGCTAGCGAAAGCCATCATTCTTTAGGTGGATTAATCAGCAACGAAGAAAAGTTATTAAAGGAAGTAAGTTTACCAATATTGTTTAAAGTAAAAGTTTTATGTTTATACATTTAAACTTAAGAGTGTTCATAATTGAATGTTAGTCGCTCATGCCAACTTAAAAGCACTAAAAGATGGCTTGAAGGAAAGTTTCTTCAGGGGTAAATAATTACTAATTTGAAACTCAAAAAGGATTCTTTAAAACCCCATTTGTTACAAAAGGTCACTTCAAAATAAACTGCTCAACAAAATAAACGTTACACGGACAAAGTTGCCCTCTCTTTGGAATACATTCTGACTGTTGGGAGCGATTTCATTTCTGTTTTAGGTGTTTTTTAGTCCAATTCTTTTTCTATCAGTCAGCGTTTTTGCAAAACATTAGTGCATTGATGCTTTCTACGGGGTAGCAAATGAAACAATGCAAAATTTCTGAAACTTTGACATGCCCCGAATTGAACAAAAAAGGATTTTTGGATTTCATCATAAGTCATAAAGATGGACTTCACACCTCAAAACGATTTTAAAATTTTTTCCTTATCCTTTTTATTTACAGGATATTTATGTTAAAAAATAAACTTTTTCGTCTTGCAGTGATAACATTTTTCCTAGCGAAAACATCGTGTAAAAAGATCTCAAAACACCAAAAAATTCAATACACAGTGACTTGCACTAAAAGTGACATGACTGTAACATCTCTGCTGATTCTTATTGTGTCGGTTTGGGTATCTAGGAACCGATAAGCTAGATAGACTCGTCTGAATATCCGACAAAGATTAACTTTATTGCTTTTACGTCCAACTTCTTGCTCTGTTACTCGAGGATAACTTTGTATGCAGCGCTTCCAAAAATTTGCAAATTACTCAAATCGGGCTTTTCTGAATGCCACAATTCTAAAGGAGTTTTGGACATTGCTTTGTTCGGTAGTCTGTATTAATTGCCTCACCCCAATACTTTATGTCCAGATCGGCGTCGAAGAGCATGCACCTCGACATGTCCAGCAAAGATCCATTTTTCCTTTTAGCGTTCTGCGATGGGGAATAAGGTGCTGTATATTGTGCATGAATGCCTTTGTTCTTTAGAAATACTTGAAAATCGTTATTGACGTATTCCCTTTCTCGATCTGACCTGATGATCTTTGAAACTTTATTGAACTGCGTCTTTGTCATTTGCACGTACGGTTTGATGAGATCGGCCGCCTCTCCTTTATGAGTGATAAAATACAAAAAAGTATACCTGGAGTAATCGTCTATAATGGTCAGGTAGAAGCGTGTATTGCCTGGAGTCCCCTTCTGCATCGGCCCGCCGACATCTGTGGGCACTAAATCAAGAAGTTCGAACGTCTGAATCTGCTATGCTTTCGGAAAAGGTATGCGAGACAGCTTTCCCTTTATGCAGTCCTCGCATATATGCTATTCTCCTCCCGCAGTCCGAGATCTTGACGCCAATTGTTTGTCCGCTAGTTCCTTGATTGCTTTCGTCCAGCGATGTCCAAAACGTCTGTCCTCGGAGCAGTGTTTGCTTAATGTTGCTTGAGTTACAAGAGCTTTTTCTGTTTGTAATTCATAGAAATTTGAAACCAGGGTTGCCGTTGCTGCAGGCGTCCCATCCGTTTTGTTTATGATAGTGCAGGCGTCCTTTCCGAAAATACAGCGGTACTCTGCCTGAACTAGCTTTCTCACGGTTACTCAATTTGCTCGTAAACCAGGGACGTACAGCACATCGCGCACTTTTATTGTTGATGTTTTTCCGCTACCGTTTACGTACTTTATAGCTGCAGATCCAATGCCTTCTACATTCAGCGCGGTTCTTGTCATCCGCGAGGCAAACGTGACCAGTCTTGGTTGTATCAAGATCGTCATAAAACTATTTTTGTCTGCAGCATGTGTCTTGTCGCTCCTGAGTCTATTTATTATCCAGTTGTTTTCATTTATGGTACCCTTCACTTCCTAAATTCAGGAATTCGGAATCCGGAAAAATTCGGAATTTACATAATAGCAGCCATTCAGCAACAACTTCTTTACTTTGTGAGATACTTTATTTGTTCCGATACTGTCTCTGGAGGCTTCTCTTTCCAAACTTTATATTTTCTGCAATTTGCTTTTGTGCAACAGGAGTTGCACTTTATAACTCCATGTTGCGTAGTTCTTACTGAGTCTCTGGACAACAGTGCACAGGTTTTTTGTCATTTTGTTCATTGTTTCACTCTTAACCCTTAAACTGCTCCAGACGTATTAACTGCTCTAGACGTATATTTACGCAAGCAATTTCAGTCACATTATTGTGTTTTTTTCAGATTATGTGTTCTCATTAGCGCCCCATATACGAGCGAAATATCTGTCATATCTGCTACGTGGCGAGCCAAATCCGCACAGATATCGGTGCGTTAATGGTTAACCACGACCCAGATACGACTCGATGCGAATTTCGTACAAAATAAATCTGCAGATCTGGACTTGCAGACCAAATTTCGTCGTTAGTGGGTACGGGCGAATACTAGTATCATGCTATTGCCATACTTCCCCGGCTTAAAGAAAATACATATTTAGATAAAATTTAACGGTTGACATTGGTACAGATTGTACATTTCAGATTTACTTTAAATGTAGTTTGTATTCTTTTCGCAATATTCCTAAATAAAAGCTTATTTCTTACCTTCATATATTTTACTTTTAATACATTATATATTGCTTGGCAGGTCTCCGGTATGAGCTGACCTAATGTTTGAGCTGCAATGCATGTAGAAAATTTCAAGTCTTCGTACGATCTGTCAGTAGCCAGAAATCGAAGGGTGGCAATTAGTCGTTCTTCATGAGGAATCGCTTGTCGCATTACCGTATTTTGTTTTTGTAAATGTTGTCCAACAAGCTTTAATAGAAGGTTAAACGTATTTTCGTCCATTCGTAAATAATTGCGGAAATCATTTGGATCAGTTGCCCGCAGCTCTCTCAAAAGGGGCATATGACTAAACTCGTTTCGTCGTGATAACCAATTCTTAACCCACTTTCTTCTCACTTTTTTTTTGCGTGGATTTTCTGAAACCACTATGATGCCGCACAAGCAATAGCTATCTGTTTCTTGCTTCGCATTTTAAACACTTAGTTTAACAAATCTGTCTCTGCCACGACCAGATCTTTTAGTTCACTTGAAATACCACGCGCCAGATCAAGTCTCTGAAACGTAAGATTTCACTCCACTAACCGATACTTCCAATCTGATACCGATCCGATCTGATACCTCCAATCCCACTGGAAGATTCGGCACTCGTCTTGGTATGTTAATTAGTGGACAGGAAAATATTTAATTTGTCCGATCCGGATCTGTCGAATCAAATACTCTACATATCTGAACTGTACGGATAATCTGCCGGTGTATGCGGCGCTATTAAGGACTTACAATCCCTAAAAGAGTTTATTTAGAGACAATTTGCAGCTTCATATTTTTTCATGTGTTTAATGCTCTAGACGTATTTATACGCGCGTGGAGAATTTAAAGTTATGGGCCGTATTGCCCATTCTAGCAGCAGTTATTATTTCGCTTAATCTACAGGTGCTTGCGTAGCGTAGTTTATCTCAGTGCGATCCTGTTTACCGTAAAATAAGGCTAAATACTTTCCGCTGCTCTAGACGTACTTTCAACAATTCAACAAAATAAACAAGAAGTGTTGGGTATGTCATGGAGTTTTTGATAAAAGATCAGAATTTTTGAGATACTGTGATTTTGCTTCTTGTTCTTCTTAGCCCATTGTTGTCAACTTCTGAAGGTACGCCTCTTTTAATTCTGTCCACGATGTTTTGTTTTGGGCTAGGCGATACCAGGCTCGTACCTCTTTAACGTCGTCTAGCCATCTTCTTTAGGGTCTTCCGATTCCTCGTTTTGTTTCGCTTGGTCGCCAGAAAGTAATAACGATTTGACCATCGACAATACTCTTGTCTGACATCGTGCCCTGCCCAGGTCCACTTGAGTTCTGCAATTCGCGCCATGATGTCTGTCACACCGGTATTTATTTTAAGTTATAGCGCTTATTTCTTCTATACTAATTTTGGGAATTCCTTCGGAGTTCACGCTCCTTATTGAAATCGACTCAGTGTTAGGATTTTTTAGAACCTTCATATTTGAGTTATTTTCTATTCTATCTATTTATAGGGTATATTTATAGCCTGATTTACCAAAATAAGGAAAATCTGCTTTAGGACTCGTCTATTTTTACGTGGCGCCAACTGTACATGCACATTTAGATTCGGCTCACTTTCAACGCAACCGTGTATTTTGATTTTTTCAATTCAAACGCGCATAATTTTCCTAAAGTTTCAGCTTCAACAAGAGCTGTAGATTTTCAAAATCAGTCCAAAAGGAAAAATGTTAGAACTGCAAGACCAAAAAGTTTGTGTTTTAACATCACACTGCAAATAAAAGATAGGGAAAAAATGAAAATTTTTTTTGGGATGTGAGGTCTGTTCTTATGCCATTGATATTGAAATCCGAAAAATCGTTTTTTGCTCAATTAAGGGCATGTCAAAGTTTTAGAAATTTTGTATTGTTTCAACGTCACCCTGCAGAAAGTCTGACTGATATAAAAATAATTGGACTAGAAAACACTTATAACAGAAATCAAATCGCTCGCAGCAGTCAGAAATTATTCACTTTCAAAGTGAAGGCAAATTTGGCCGTGTAACGTTTATTTTGTTGAGCAGTTTAATATTTGACTATCTAACCCTTTTTTACTTGTTGCAAGGTTGCAATTTTTTGTATATCGTAGTTTTGAATATAATTAAATATAAGAAAACTTTTATGAAATATGTGATACTTTTATGAAATACTTATGATTATAATAGGCCAGGCGAATTACGACGAAATCCTTCAAATATGGTTCTAACGTGACGTAACTTAGATAACTATTGGAATCGCTCGGGAATAGTATACCAATTGAAAATATCGAGGTGCGCCAGCTTGAAAAGTTGTGCTATTTGCATGAACAACGAAAAACTGAAAAATTTGCGAAAATGCTTTTTTTTCAGAAATAATCGCATATAACTCGGTAAGTATGCATTTTGCAGAAGAACTGTATACTCATTAAATTCTTCGCTATGAAATGCTCGATAAGTTAGAGTTGGTTCAATATCCGACGGTTGGGAATGTTCGCTGCAAAATGCTCGAAAGTGCAAAAAAAGTAGGTAAAAAACAAGGTAATTTAAAATTATTTATTTGACAATGAAAAATAACCCAATCACGCCATACATTTATAGAAAAGTACAACTGCAATATAAGTTGAGAGCCGCAAGGCCGATTAAGATCGGACGGACAGTTTTTGCATAATGCAGTTGTTAATTAACCTACCTGAAAAAAATTACCTTTTTTTTAATTTTCTGCCAGGCTCAAAGTTATGACTATTTTTGCGCCCGCGCTTTTACACTTTCTTGGACCCTTAAACCTTAACACCTTCATCATATACAATTGCTATATTAACCATATTTCAATTTTTACTTCCTTTTTGAGCGGTTTTAAAGTCTCAAAATTTTGGCTTATAAACAAATTAGCCTGTGAAGCGGGACTTGCGAGTGAGAACAAATCGGAAACTATAGAAAAAGAAGACTCGGAAACACGCTTCTTTTAAAAATATATATATCAAATTCCGTCCAGCTGATGTTGAGATATTAACTTTGAAAGTTGGGCAAGGTATGCGGCGTGACGGTAATGGTGTAACAATAAATTGTTTACCAATCGATATATTTTTCTAAGATGTTTTCGCATCTGCTTTCAAAAATTACATTGCACGTGTGCATCATGGACAAAAATTTGTATAAACATTGTGTAGTGCGCTGTAGTAGCGGAGCTGAAATTAGGAGGGGTGGGGATAAGCTGGGAAACTTGAAATGGGCGCTTCAAAATCGGAGAGCTCGCTTTCTGGCACATCCCTCGCGAGCATCGAAATTGAGAAAAAAATGCATGTTTTGGATATCGTACTGGCCTTGGCTAGAAGAAGACGCTAATACTCCAATTTTTGAAACCGCTATAAGTCTAGCTACCGAGAAAAATCCAGCAATTATTGTAGTTGAAGATATAGAGAGATTAGTAATTTTAGCACAAACTGCGCCTGTAAATAAAAAAAAAAAATTTCTTCAAAGCGAGGAGAGGAAAAACAGCTGAAAGGCTTTACAGTTCCACATCTCTTATCGGCAAAAATAAGAAAAAATTGATTGCTTTATTCACTCTTTCACTGGATGTAATACTACATCTGCTTTTTCAAACAAGAAAAAAAATTATTTATGAAATTATTAGAGAAAAATACAAGCTTAATCGAAGGAACTTTGAAGTTTTAAAAGTAGCTCTACGAAGAAAGCTTTTAATTTAGCTATGCTTCCGCCAACAGAATCAGCTGCAAAAAAGCATACGTTTAGAGGATATTATTAACTGCAACAATGGCTCGGTAATTCGTTGGATCCGACACAATGGGGTTGGAGTGTTAAAGAAAATAAATGACAACCAGCATATACAACTGATTTACTACTTCCTGACAATATATTAGGTGACATTAGTTGTAAATGTACAATGGGGGCTGCACGAAATCTTGTAGATGTGAAAGACACGGATTAAAATGTTCCGATTATTGCGCAAGATGTCACGGTCAAACTTGTAAAAATTGTGAAGAAAATATACTAGACAGTAATACAGATGTAGAAAAATATGTTGTAGAAGTAGCGAACTTTCATATTGATGGCGACAATGATGTACAACTCCATGTAAATGCATTTCATATATTGCACATATTAACAACTTAAGAATGCGTTTCCGACAACAAATACAGCGATGACGAAATTCCGTGTAGGAAACAAAAGTATGCCAATTAATCAAATAAATGAGTTTGTATCAGACATAAATTCTGTAAATTATGTAAATTTAGTGAAATTCTCAAAATTTTATAATTATTTATAACTTGTCTCCTGTTATTCATAGTACGATATGCATTAAATAACAATTAAATTAATTTGTGATATTATTGCGCGTTAATTCTTCAATTTAATACTAATTTACAATGAACAAGATATGCCCAATAAGGATATTATAATTTGCACTAATTTTTAAACATTTAAAACATTTAACATTTAAAAATCCTTGATTATGAAAATTGACAACCGATTGTATATTTTTTAACTTCATTTGAGAAATGTATATACAAAAACATCATTCTGAAGGGAGCACGCCGATTTCGTCAGCCTGTCCCTCCGAATTTCGGATCCGAGCGCGCACTATTCAATATTTAAACAAATTTTTATGCGTGATGCACACGTGCAATGTAATTTTTCAAAGCAGATGCGAAAAGGTCTTGGAAAAACTATCGACTGGTATATATTTAAGTGTTATATCGTTAACCGTTACGCGGTATACGCTGCCCAACTTTGGAAGTTAATATCTCAACATCTACTCAACCAAATTGGAATATTTTTTTCTTAAAGAAGCGTCTTTCCGAGTACTATCTTTCCGTACTTTCCTATTGGTTCCCACTTGCAAGTCCCGCATCACAGGCTAATTTGTTTATAAGCCAAAATTTTCAAACTTTTAAAAACTGCTAAAAAAGTAATTAAAAATTGAAAAATGGTTGATATAGCAATTGTATATGATAGTTTAAGGCTTCGAGAAGGGGTAAAACCGCGGACGCAAATAATTATTCGTAACTTTGAGCCTGGCACAAAATTGAAAAAAAGGTAATTTTTTCCAATTACGTTAATCAACAATTGCATTATGCAAAAACTGTCCGTCCGATCTTAATCGGCCTTGCGGCTCTCGTATTGCATTGCAGGCAAGTACTTTTCTCTAAATGTATGACGTGATTGGGATATTTTTTCATTGTTAAATAAATAATTTAAAGCTACCTTGTTTTTTACGTAGTTTTTTGTGCGTTCGAGCATTTTGCAGCGAACATTTCAAATCGTCGGAAATCGCACCAACTCTATCTTATTGAGCATTTTATAGCTAAGAAATTAATGAACATACATTTTTTCTCCAAAATGCATACTTACCGAGTTATATGCGATTGTTTCTGAAGAAAAACGCGATTTTCGCATTTTTTTTTCACTTGAGGCTGGCGCGCCTCGATATTTTCAATAGGTATACCATTCCCGAGCGATTCCAATAGATATCTACGTTACGTCACGTTAGAGCATGCCAATCTGTAATCCTCCTGGACTAAAAGAATTTGTTGATTTGCATAAATCTCCTCAGAATCTTGTCTCTGCCGCAAGTGTTTCGGTCGAGTAATATTCGCTTTGTAATTTTTATTGCAAGCACTTTTTATAACTTCTAGGTTCAAAGGACAACATCGATGTCAAGTGAAAATCACTCTGAAGCTTTCTTCTCGGCAGATGAAGATGTTAACGTAGCATCTAGAAGTTCAAGCTTGAGAAATTCAATTTTAAGTTCAGGGGACACGTTTATGAAGCAGGAAAGTAGCAGCGTGCCTCCTCAAAGGTAAATTTTCTATTCTGGGTGATGAAAAACGTGATTGATTAATTTGATTTCAGGAAAAAATTTTCCAGCGAATTGAGCATTGTAACGGACCGGAACGGAATGCAGAACAGATCGATGCAAGCTCCCGGTTCTGCACCTGAGACTGGAAAATTGCGACTTTCGAGTCATAGGAGCGATCATGAAATTCATACTCCCGAACACAGGTATTGGGGATTTGCGTTATAAAGTAAAAGTTTCTGTCTTTAATATTAGTTTTTTGTAACTTAAAAGAAAAACGTTTTTATCATAGAACCGGATAATTTATTGATATTTTTCTGTAGGACAGTGCAGGGTTTGGTTACACCATATCGATACCCCACTTACCGATCTGTTAGCCCAAGAATTTTATCAAATGGGCAGCAACCTTTCGAAAAACAAGAAAGTACTATAAGTGATGTTTTAAACGACAGCTCTGATAGTGTTAGCAATACCAGTTATGCATCAGCTGTGGGTAGTCAAGAAGATTTCACCTTAGTTGATCTACACATGCAAGTAAGTGTACTGAAACTTCAGCGTCGAAAGTTTTAGAAGTTACCAACCTGTAATTTGTTCTATAGGTGAATAGACTTATTGTCGACTCGCCAATGCTGATGTCAAGCTACGTCACCCATTTAAGCCAACTAAGGTGTCAAAATTGGCATAACAAAGAGGTGGATCAATTTTCAGCATCGATGTTTGAGAGAAGTTCTGAAGGCAAACTTGCATATGTGGGTGAGTAAATATTTGGATTGTAGTATAGCAGCAAGTCACTACCACACTTTTTTTTTATTTTAATTTGTTAGGCGGAAATTTTGTACCTTCAATGGAACCACTTAGCGATGGAATCACATCATTGAAAATGGTATCTCGTTCAGATTCTGGAATCGCCAATCAAAATAAAACACCTACCTCACCTTATGTATATGTCTGGGATAATGACGAAATGGAAAATGATTCAGGTATGTTTTTACTCGTCTAGCTGATAAATTATATCAAATACTAACTATACTAAGTAAGTTCTACTATACTATAGTATTTGATACTAATACGTTCAACTTTCCACGATTTTTGGAAGCTCTTACACCAGCGCCTCTATTGGAAAGAGTTGTAAACTGGGATACCTTGTCTTGCCTTACGATATCGTTTTATCGTTTTTTGTTACGTTCAATAGTGGTTGTGTTCAATTTCTTGAAACAATGTCTAGCAAACTTGGTTCTGTTTGTGCAGAATACGGTTGTAATAATTATAAACAGCAGTAAGGAGAAGAAAAGTCGTTTTTTAGGATGCCAAAAAATTCTAACCAAATTCTAGTTTCACCGGTACCATCCGAACAAGAAATCATGTAAGACACGACAAATTTCGAGGTCCACCAACCTCAGGCACCCCCAGGATCGGTTTCGAGCCTATTAGCTCTCATGAGACAGATGGCGATGCCGAATAGGTCCCTCTGTTTGTGTTTGCATTGGGTGAATCAAGTGCAGGTTTCGCGGTCGCTAATTTCAGACTAAACCCAGCTGATGAGAGCCAATAGGCTCGAAACCGGTTCGGGGGGTGCCTGAGGTGGGCCAATCTCAAAGTTTGTCTTATCTTACATGATTTCTTGTTCGGATGGTACCGTTAATGTTAATAATTCTATAGATGATATATATATCATTATAAGTTAAGTTTTTATTAGGTCAATTTTATTTTCAGGTTCATTTCAAGAAGAGGAGTTGCTTAGTGGACAAACTGACGGAGGTTCTCGCACTGTAGTAATAGTGAAGCTTAAGGGCGATCTGGACATAATGGTCAGTCCACTGCTTTTGGAAAGTTTACTGCGATTTGTGGATGTCCTTACGCCTACAGTCGCCAACTTGCATCCTTTGACTGTAATGAACCATCTGCATACATCCTGTGTTGGCCAGGTATAGCATTTTTACATTCTACTTACTTTTTAATGGTGTTATTAGTGAATGAGCAAAAAAAATCTGATTATTTTTTTATATATACAGGGGGGCTATTTTCTGAATCTTTGTATGGGTAACTTCTACATTTTTAAAGATAGAGAATCCATTAAATGGGCAAAATTGGACAGAATTCGATTGACACGACTCGGTTCCTGAAATATCATGAAAATAAAAGAAATCAACACTTTTTTAATTATCACATATTACGTAAACTGCTTAACTTAGAAAAAATTTAGAACTGCCCTTAGTACAACTTTTTGAGTTGAAACCAATAAACTAGCACTCGTTGTCATAGTCAACTTGATTTACGAGATAAAAAATAAAGTTTTTTTTTTAAATTGGTAATCATAGTTGGCTGTGGGCCTTTTAAAATCCTTATTTTTTCTAAATTTAACGATATAATTGTTTATTCCCCTGCTTTGTGTCCATAAAGTTGTGAATCACCCTGTATAGATATATTTATATTTGCTAATTATAAATTTTTATTTGAAGGTACAATCTGCTAATGTTTTAAAAACAACGGAAAACATTTCAAAGTTGTGCCAACCGGGATCAGGAAGCGGAGAAACAACAGCTGTATATGCGGAGACTATTAAAAACCAACTGCAAGCTGCAATTTTTTTGCCTAAAGTATTAACGTACAATCGTCAAGTGATTAGTTAAACCGCTAATTACATCTAATTTTAGGTGAACGTGACTCTTCTTCAAGTATCTATTGTTGAGGAAATTATATCTTTTTCTGCACTGGATAACATTAAAGATTTGACTTGCGTATCATTATTTTCTGTTTGTTTTGACAATATTAGCGTTAAATTCCATTATGATCATCAGGTGGGTTCTACGCCAGATATTTGTATGCAATTCTTCATCTTTGAGTTTTAGGAGAAAGAAATTTTAGAACGATTTTTAAGGCCTTCAGTGGTGAGAACCAAAAACAAAGGAGCAAATATTGCAAAATTTTTAGGACTTCAAACTAACACTAATTCTGATGTGATTCAGGGTGAACCTGTTTTTATTGAAAGTTGCGAAAATCAACAGTCGCAGCTGGTCAGTACGTTTCCGTCTAATGTAATTTAGCTAATGTCTATTTTTTAGGTAATTTGTTTAAATGTGAGCAAAGTTCATTCGCAGTTGCGAAGATTGCGAAACGAGTCTTCTATCTTGGATGATGCAATTATCACTGCAATTCCCACATACAAGTCGAAAGTTTTATTTATTCCTGCCAAAGTTAAATCTATGTACAGAGGCTTGGAATATTATCTTCAACCAGTTGCAAAAGACACCAACGTAAGGATGCCGGTATTTAAAAAAATATATTATCTCTGACCTGCCTGCAACTTATCAAAGAACCATTTTTTGAACCATTTATTGTTACAAAAACATTACCATTTTGTGTATATTTTTCAACTTGAAGATACCACAAATAGACGAACTGACCACTGATGATAAGTTGGGTTTTATCATGTTTGAATGTGGATTGGAAGGCGTTTCCTTGAAGGTAGTGAAAAAGTCGAAGTTTGAACAGACTGACACCACAATCAGTGGATCGATCGATGTACCGAGCGTAGAATCTGTCAAATCTAAAGAAAATTTAGGTAAGTATTTTTGATGAACTTTATAAGTTTTATTATTGATATAACCCTTCGGACAGGTTTTGAGTTGGTTAGAGATGTTGTTTGAGTTCTTTAATGTCCTCAGCCAGGTTTAGCGTAGTTGTGACTTTAGTCGATGAAAAATACATTGGCGAAATAAAGTCCAAGTTTCAGGACTATATGTATACATATATGTATATTATATTATTATAGAAAATATAAAGAAAAATTTTTTTTTAAATAAAAATTAGGAAATAACAATGTTATGAATATTTTAGGCTTAAATGTATACTTAGAAAGTGCTCAACAACCTTTAAAGAAAAGTTATAGTACGATTTTTTTGAAGCAAAACTAAATTTATTATTGAAAATTTAAAAATACTCGAAAATTAAAAAAAAAAAGAAAAAAGGAAGTTTTTTTGTCAGCATGAATGGTTCAAAAGTTATGCGTAAAAAACGTTTTTTGCACTTCTTTAATTATTTTAACAATGTTCTAGAGCCGGAAATCGCGCTCAAACTTGTCAGAATATTCTCACATCCTTCCAAACAACTTCCAATAATCGTTTACCTGCTATTTAGGGCCCGGAAAACATCTTATCCGACTGGACTATTTTTTCACGATCTAATGTTCCAATATGCCACTCTCAGTTCGGTATTCATTCTCCTAGTCCTATTTCTTGCGATTTTAACTTCAGTTTAATAACTTTTTGATTTTTGCCAATTGACCCAAACTTTTCTCGGCGTATCAGTATTGTAAGTTTTAGTGACACTGATTCAAAAAATATTTTTAGAGTCAGCAGCAAACACACCGAAAAATACTGTACAATCATCTACTCGCACATCAACGAACAAAGATTCAAGTACTCCGAAAACTGAGAAGAAATGCAGCGAAGAAGACAATCATCAAGAATTGGAGAAAGATAATTTTAAGGACAATGGCAACGTATCTTCATGTATAATTGAGCTGAAAATCGTTTGGTTCAATTTTGCAGCTCCACCTCGAGCGCCTATTACGAGGAAAATCGATTACACTCGGTATGTTATTATTAGTAATTCTAGTCAAGTTTTGTAAAATGATTCATTCGCTACGCAAAAAGAAAGTATTTTTTAAATAGGAAAATATTATCTTCACGAAGAAATTAACTAAAAACACATTTTTATCATATCATATTGACCAATATTTAAACGTTTGACATTAAACGGCCACATGTTTTCGTTTAATGTCAACATTTACTTGTCTGGTTTTGTAGGAATTTTTTGAATCTTCTTCTTCCTGCTCATATTCAGGAGCCTTTCCATCTTTTGGGAGGTCGGTCCAGTGGTCGGCGTGTCTGTGGAAACCCGTCTCGAGCTATTTTTGCAACCCTGTCCATATTCATTCTAGTGACTTGGTCATTTTAGGCTCTACGACGCTTCCGTACCCATCTGACTATGTCCTCTATCTCGCAATCGTTTCTTATGTCAGTGTTTGTTTTCCTGTATCTTAGGGTGTATCCTGCTATATTCCTCAGTATTTTCATTTCAGTTGTTCGCAGGATATTTTTGGTTCGACTGGTGTCTGCTTGGGTTTCTGTAGCGTATGTCAGTACGGGCGTACGCAAGTTTTATAGATATTAGTTTAGTTTCCCCATGTGTTTGTTGTTCCATACTATGTCTCGTAGAGCAAATGCTATCCTGCTAGTTTGATTGGACCCATACCTCATTGTCTCTGTTTTGCCTGGAGGTTATTTGCACTCCCAGGAGTTAAACTCCATTACCTGCTCTACTAAATTATTATCGAGTGCGAGTTTACATCTGACGGGCTCTTTAGCGATTACGAGTGTTTTTGTTTTGGTAGTGGATATTTGCATGTTGTAGGCCATAGCTTTCAGCTATGATCACAGCGTCGTCGGCATAGCAAATTATTTTTATTTCGCCAGTTGTAAGTCTGTACCCTCTGCCCGAGTTCTTGACGTGACTAATTATCTCATTTATTATGATGTTAAACAGCTGAGGGCTCAGAGAATCTCCCTGTCTAATTCCCTATGGCGTTGGAATTTCCTCTGTCAGTTTTTGTGTTCATTAAGATGTGACTCGAAGTGTTGACGTTTGATAGTTCCTATAATAGCTTCAGGTATGTATTTTCCCCTTAAAATATTGATAACATCGAACAGTTTTACTCGATCAAAAGCCTTGTTGAGATCGATAAAGCACATAAATGCGGGTTTTCCGTACTCAATGGCTTTTTCCACAATTTGCCTGATTATAAAGATAGTGTTCAGCGTCGATCTATTTTTTCTGAAACCTTGTTGTTATTATGACATAACTAAACGTTCGGTGATGAGTGATTCCAAAATGTTTGTGAACAGTTTTATAGTTGAGGCTAGTCGTGTTATGCCTCTGTAGTTTTCAGGAGATTTCTTATCACCTTTTTTGAATATGGGAATAATGATACTTTTCTTCCATTCGTTTGGGATTGTTCTAGTTGTTAAAATTTTATTGAAGAGTTTTGTAAGTTTCGCCATTAGTCGTGGTCTGCCCTCTTTTAATAGTTCGTTTGGTATGTGATCTAAGCCAGGTGCCTTTCTATTTTTAAACTTACTCGCAATTTTTGTAGTGCCTTTGATTGATATTTCCACCGGTTCCGGATTTTCCGCGGTTTCTGTTTCGAGCCTTTCTTGTTCTTCGCTGGCATATAATTTTTAAGTAATCTTTCCACTTTGCTTCGTCTATTTGTTGTGTTTGCGCGTATTCTGTAATGACGAGTTTTCTTTTTCTTAGCATTTCCCAGATTTTCCTTTGCGCGCCATATAAGTCGTGTCCCATTTCTGTGGTGAATTGCTCCCAGTAGCTTCGTTTGATATTTCTTCTTTCTGTGTTGACTCTGTTTCATGTTTGATTGTAGTGGTTGCGTTCTTCAGGTGTTCTATTGCTTCTGAATGCAGGCAATTCTATGCAATTCTGAAGTAGGCAATCCGTTTTTATTTTGCTAGTGCTTTTACTTCTGTGGTATACCATTGTTTGAATGAAAACAATAAACATCATCTAAGTGTCTGATATCCAAATTTCGTTATCCCCGTTTCGTACTCTTCGATATTTTTCCATAATTCCAATTTTCAAGTGTTTGATCTCGCGTATAATTGATACATGTTCTTTCGTTTAGCTAGTTCTTTCACTTCCAGTGTGAAACATGGTGTTCTGTTAATTGTATTGATCTTTACTTGTCACTTTCCTATTGCTTTTATGGCCGCAACTAATGTTATTTTTTATTGTTTTCCATTGTCTCTCTTCGGTATTCACTGGTCTTTGCAGTATTTTCTGGTTTAGTCGATCTTAGTACAGATCTTTTGTGCTGTCATCTTCTAATTATTCGACATTAGTTAATTATTTACGGTTTAGGTTTTGTGGATTTGGGTATGTTCAGTCTCATTTTGCAACGTACCATCTTATGATCGCTTCCAGAATGAAGAGTCCAGAATTTAGAGTTCTTACGTTCAATATTGTTTGTGGTACGACCTCTCTGTTTGTGATAATATAGTCCTATTCCGACTGTTGACTATATTGGTTGTATATGGTTGTCCTCTTGTATATGTGAATTTGTATTTCATGTTATGTTCGAAAAAAAAGTTATTAATTTTTATGTTGTTGTTAGCGCAGAATATTTTCAGTGGATCCCATCCCATTTCAGTATTATGCCGTATTATTATCCAGTGGAAAATTATCTTATTTTGCATTTAGGTCACCCATAATAACGATTTTATCTCGCGCTCCTATTTTGTCCACTACTGCTTGCAGTTCTTAATAAAATCTCTCTCTATCTCCTCTCTCTGCTTACTTATGTCTAGTGCATAGACACTTATGAAGTGCGTTTTCCTATGACTACTACTTATTGTTGCATGTAGTATTCTGTCGTTGATGTAGACTTCACTCTCTATTTGTTGTTTGTCCTTTTGGTGTATCAGTATCCCCACTCCTGAGTGTGCTCTCTGCTCTCGTGGTACTCCACTGTATATCAGTATATACTTGCCAATTTAGCATTTTTTTGTCTTTCCTTTGTTCTTCGTTTCGCTGATGGCACTTAATTCTATGTTATTGTCTTTTAGTTCTTCTATGATCTCCTGATCCTTTGAAGTCCTGGACATAATGTTCCAAGTGGTCACTCTGAGTTTATTTTGGTCCTAGGCTGGGTTGTGGTTCTGTGAGTTGTACTTTTTTTTTCAGGTTTACAGGTAGGGTGTTAACTTGACCTGTTAACCCTCCACACTTGCGGTGTTTCTTAAAAAATAAACTTGAAAAATTGTAATTCATCATAAACTTAATTTTTTATTATTTTTTAAATTGTTTGTGTAATACATTTACTTGCAGAAATGCTCGTTTCTCAAATTCAAAGCAACTTAGGTATAATAAATTTTTCTTATTTTAGCTTGGATTGGAATTTACTGAGTACGGCTTCACCGGCAATTAATGCTTGGATGAATCCCAGTAATCGGTTAGCTATACGTGTGGTTCATATGGTTCGAACAATGTATCGTCGGTCAACAGCAACTGTAGCTTGTCTTATGGCTGAAGCCATGGAAGGACAACATATACATACATTGCCAAAGGTAGGGTTGTTAAATGTAATTTGAAGGTTTTTAACATTTTTTTTCAAATGGCGACTTTTAGAGTCGCTATGGAAAATTAACACCCCTGGCTCAAACTCTGCATGATGATCCCAGTCTTCAGTTGTGCCGAATTTTGCGAAAGTTTTACTTGGAATGTGATCCGCTATACATCGAGTCTAACTTGAGGGAAACGGAAATTCCCCCTCTATTTACCCTGAGACAAGTATATAATTATACGCTTTATTCAATCCTAAGTTAATAGTAAAATGTGTATATTTTCAGGGTGTTATAGTTTTGAGCAGACAATGGAAAAACACCCTTTACACTCCTTTAATGAGCCAAAACCCAGTTAAAATTACCAGATTTAAAACCATGAACGTTACTATAGCGGTTCCAGACATTCAGGAGGTAAGAATGCCTTTTAAAATATGCTGGCTATACATTAAAACAAACATTTTTGGTTCTTGAATAAAGCGGTGTGTTTTTATTTAGGTAAATTCTAGATCCGATTCAGGCACGATATATGAGAGTAATATTGACAGTAAGCTATTGAACCTATTGCTAAATCTAATGTGCCTAATGTCGCTAATGTTTAGCAAAGAAATCACTTGTGCACTAACCAATATTGTTTCATTTTCTGTATAGTTGTACGTTCTTTGAAGTGCGTTGCGATTCAAATATTTTTTTTAGTTAAGGAAGTTATAGCTGTCGCGTTTATTCCTAAAATATTTCTGGCTTAAGCTTCAAGAACAACAAATCATATATTTTATCATGTAGTAGTATGTACAACGCACTGTTACTAACATCATCTCACTCCATCACCTCAATCACAATCATTTTCGATCAATAGGAGTCCTGCTTTACGGACGGTGAGGCATCGGGCAATGAAGAGGCCGATATTACTGATGAACACGCGAGACTTCTACACGCAGGTGTTATTTTGAGACCCAACGCACCGCATAGAAATTTGGGTAGGTTATGGGTTGCTGCTTTTCGTTTGCTTGTTTGATTACCTTCAATTCGATTGTATTCATCTTTTTAATGTAAACGTTACTTAGGTTAGCAGAACGGTATTCACACACACATCTTTGTCATTTGTCTAATCAGGGTTTCCCAAACTGTGTTCCGCTGAACCTGAACTGGTGATCCGCGAAAATTTGGAAAGGTTTATGCATTGCAATTATCTTTAGGCCCTATAGCTGCTGTTGCAGCAGCGCACCTAGGAGATGAAGACTCCGAAATGAAAGCGCCTGGTTCTCCAGGTTGGGGTTGAGGCGTCGGGCTAACTCTCTGTCACTAGCCTCGGAATAGGAAGGAACAAAGACGCCGACAAATGACACGAAAAAGGACAACGATGTTTACCCTGAACGATCGGATCTGATCACTGAAACGAAAATGAAATTGTAGGGGAGGCAGCGACACAAATATACGAGTCATTTTCTCCAGCTTTATGTTTTGAGCATGAGTTATGCATATGATATGGAACTCCAATATGGACGTCTTTCCTTGCACCCTTACGACATGGGATTGTAGGAGAATTGCAATTATTGCTGAAAATTGAAAAAACGAAATGATGGGAATGACACATTCTATAACAGATGACATAAACAACAAACAACTAATATGGTACGGACATATACATACAAAGAATGCAAGAACACCGAATCCCGACCCGGAAGCCAATAAAGAGCTGGTGAGAAGGTATCGACAGGGAACCTAGAGACAGACAGCTTGAAGACGATCTATGGAACGACTGAGACAGATGGGAAATGGAAATCGGAAGACGTCGTAGAACGTTATAAACCGATATACAGGGCGTCATTCCTTTTACTAGGCGATAGGGGCTCACTTGGACAGTACGAGAAAAATATTGAAACATTTTTTTTCGAAAATTTCTAGAAGATATAAACAGTTGAAAATCGAATTTCAACTTTGTTATTAAGCATTATTTTGAAATTTTCCCATGTTTAATAGGTAGCATATTGGAATACTTACGCATTCGAAAAGAAAAATTACAATCTTTACTTTAAACTACGAAACAATTTTAGATTAAAAAAGTTCTCTTCTACAATTCTTTGATGTAAAGTCGAAGCGGCAAAGATGTTTTTTCTCATCAACATATAGTGACAGGTGGATAGCCTTTGTCAATAATAACAATAATTTGTCAAACTGTGACTTACTTTGAAGCTCCTTTCACGGATTTGCGGATATGCGCTTAGTGATGGGAAAATGTGACAGTAACATAGCAGAAACTGTTGGAGCTCACGCTAACAACGGGCCGACAGGAAGTGGCCGACAGGAAGTGGCCGACAAAAGATCTTCGGATTCCAGACCCAGCGGAACAATAATTGGAGATAATTGCAGCAGAGCTTTCCAGGGGTACTCAGAGCACAATAACTGACACTTTCCCAGGCACCAAATAAATACCGAGGAAGAGCTATATTCTTACCACGTATAGAAGATACGCATAGCACAAGGACACATTAAGCCAATGGATTACGGAACAGCGATTCAAATTGAGCAGGAGTTAATTAACTGAATAGGAGAAGCTACTCGAGAAGAGTGGTGGAAGATAATAAGGTGATTCCATAGGGACTAACTTGTTTGGAGTTAAAGATTGAAGCGTTTATTTATTTGTGTAGTGTACACATAAATTCGTGGTTATGATAACAATGTTGACATTTCGAAAAAGTACGTTCCACATTTAACGAATCTTGTTGAATTTACCTTTTATCCTTATCTATCTTATTGTCACTCTGTATTTTTTCAAGGTTACCGAAATTTTTAATAGCAACAGGTTTTTTCATAATGTTAATTATGCAGATTACCTTGAAAAACACTGTTGCCATCCTTCTGATATAGTTTTTTGCAAATATCTCACTTTTTAATAACTACATTTTTTTCTATTTTTCCTGTACTCTCAAAGCACGTCGAGACAACAGCTCCAGAGGAATGACGCCAATTTTGAATCACCCTGTATAGATTAGGATATAATTATCTTTTGCTTCACATGCCCATTACGTAAACTGTTTTTTGGGTGTTAAAATAAAGTTCAGTAGAAATCAACTTAAAAATAAACCAAGTGCTCCGTTAACATTTCTGGGTTTGCAAAGTGTTCCATTATAGAAAAGGTTTGGGAAACCTTGGTCTAATTGTTAAAAATAGACTGGCAAACTTTTTGTATTTAGCTTGCTTGCTGCTTGATTATTGACACTTTATGCATTAACCACATTATACTTAAGGGTACTTGAGAACAGAAAGCACCGTTGCACATTTCAAAACATCTCCACTTGTCATGTGTACCTAATGTGGCTAGAGGCGAATAATTAAGATATACAGGGTGTCTCTACATGCGAAGAAAAATGCTAAGTCAAATTTCTGAGGTTAAAATATGACGATCTAACCCAGCTTACCTCACTCCGAAAATGAATGAATTTGGTGGAGATTGTTTGCGAAAGCATCACTTTTACCCATTAAAAATTTTGTTCATCCCGTGTGGAAAGTAATAACTTTCGCCACGCACGCTGACAGCTTGGCTTTGTCACTGACTGTCAACTGACAGACAGACAGACTGACATAAGACTGTTTGACAACATTTTAAAGGCTTAGGCTTCTCCCGGCTAGTTTGCCCCGAGAATCATGAAAAATTATATATTGTACGCGAGACGAATGTCGAAGGCCCGCCACTGCGTGCATGACGCCGTCGGCTTTGCCTCGTGCGCAACTTCAAATTTCGTCTCGCGTACCGTAATGATATTTATTTTAACGGTGTGTACTTACTGTAGCAAACCTCTACATTTTATAATGATAATGAAGGCATATTTCTCTAAAGATTTTTCTATGAAAGTCGCAGCAGGATGCAAGGGGTTTTCTCTCATATTTTAGCACTCTTCTGCAGGACTTAATAAGTTATTAAAAATTGTTGAAATGAACATTTTTCCTGTATTACCAATAGTTTTGGCCCGATAGGGAAAAATAATTCCAAAAATGTCAAATTTAGACAGTTTACCAATTTGAAATGGACAGCCGAAGTAATGCAGGTAAAATTAGAAAACTTCAACTTTTTGATAAGTTTTTAAATAACCTATATTGGAGTGCTAAAATATACGGGAAAACCCTGTACCAGTTATTAAATGCATTTATGAAAAGCTAACAAAAAGTTTAACTTTTATCACTCGGCGTCTCCGAAATCATTCACATTTGTACTAAAGTAAGTTGAGGTAAATATTTTTCCCTTAGGAATTTGTGGTAGAATTTTTTTCCGCGGGTTGTAGTTAGATCCTGTATTATAGAGAAGAAGGCAAACATTCGAAGCGAAAATGAAATTGAAGCACATATATACAACGTAATCATCTATTTTCTGCTGATGTATATTTGCCTTTTTCTGTAGTAATACAGAAAATCATAAACCGACTATCAAATTGCAGTTCCCTGTATGGCATGTAAAGACATGACTCCCTTGCACCCATCACCTCGAGTTGGTGCATTTTCTGAAAACGGTGTTCAAACATCACAAGTTGCAGTGGTTTCCGGTGGCGTTGAGAGTGTTTTAGCATCACCAAGTCCCCCTGGTAAGTATAATGCACAGACATTCGAAAAGACAAGTTTTGCTTAATCTGCCTTTTATTTATTTGTTTGCTTTTTGCTTTTCCATCAGTTGTAAACTTTTGCTGATCAGGTTTACAGTCACAATTCTTACAAGAAAAAATGTTGCTGTAAATGAACGAAAAACGTAACTTATGGTTTTGCTTGTTGTGTTAACCGCCGTTCATTTTAGTACCTATGAGAAAGCGCAAAAAGAGTATAGTGCCTGTCCAACCACCAAATAGTTGTCGGGCAAGTGTGGTTTTACCGCTTCTTACCAGCGCTAACCCATTCACAGCTAAGCGTGTTAATGATGATGGTATTTGTAAGTAACTATGAGTATTAATGCAACATTTAGGCATTCTACACACTCAGCTTATCGTTATCATATACGACGTGTGGATAGTAAACGACTATTTTCTACTTATTTACGGAAAATGGAATCTTCGCTGAACATTTTCTGAGACCGTTAAAAGTTTTACAATTGATTGAACATTATGGTGCTTTGGTACTTTGTACCAAAGACATTAATAAATAGACCAAGCTAGTCATTCATTAATTCCGATTTGTTTGGGACCAACATTGAATTCTATCGATCGGCGATTTATCAATGAAAAATAGGTGGTAGGGATAAAAGTAGGTACCGATGCATATTTTTACAAACTGTAGAGTTAATCCAAGGACACGTTCGCCTGGGCGCTACCAGTCTTACGACTACGCCTTGTAGGCATTCCATTACTATAATGTTACTATTCCGTATTTCCCTCATTAACGGTGTTGTCATGATGAATGTTTCATTTTTTTTTTGTAATTACCGCTTTAAATTCTTATGAACTTTTTAATTTAAAATTTCAACGCTGTTATTTTAATGACGTCTACTTGTCGCTTATTACAAAGTAAGCAAGTATAACACTAAATAACTTGATGGCTACCCCGTTCTTGATATTTTCTTGTTGATGCTACTCATATAAACTTACTGGAGGATTGAATTACGTTACATTGGAGGATTGAATTGAATATACGATTACGATTACGAAGATTGAAGAGAATGAGAGAATGGAAGAACGTCTACATCTCTACGAAACTTTTAACTTTTTTCTGCTTTAACTTTTGACAACAGAAAAAAATCCTGATCATCAAACTATGGTTAACTTAACTGTCTAGGGTCATTTTGTGCAGAAGTTATTATTATACATATGTATTAAGTTTCTGTCTAACAAAACCTACAGTCCTAAGGTAGAACTCATGTAATGAGAGCACGCACATAAATGCAGGAATTTATGTCATTGTTTTGCAAAGCTAATTGAAGACATTCGTAAATGATATTCATTGTCGTCAAAATTATTTAATAGTTTGTTTAAAATATCTCAGTTTTTTGCACAATTTGGCCGAATTATTTTTTCAGTACTCACAAAATCGACCCAGAAGACTGACGTTAATTTTGCACCTAAGAGCTGAAAACAATCTTTAATAAGGGGGAATAAATCATAAATCAAGACAATCTTTAAGAAGGGAGATCAACCTTGTACGATGTATGACGATAAGTTGAGTGCTCAGAATGCTGGTGGACGCAATCTTCACTGGCTAATTAAATAGGTTGGCAATTATTTCCGTTTTTAATTGATGTGGAAATAGTTTACATAAGTCTGTTAAACATGCAGTGAATCTTGTGATTTGTGTTTTAAATGTTGTGTTCCTTTAGCTTTGCCGTTGAGATTTGCTTTAAAATTGATCTTACTTAGTCTTATATATCCTACCTCGTTGACAAAAATAAATTATTTAAACATAGGCTATGGGACTTTGCGTGAGGATTGCACAATAATAAATGTGGGATCTGATCCAAGCGATGCATATAGCCAATCTAGCCCTGATTTACCGTCTAGCCCCACTCACCGGGCAATTGGACATGCTCATTCCAGCGAAGATTTATACAGTTGGATGGCTAAACAGGGCGTCCAGACTGACGAAAATCTAGAAGGTAACTATAATAATAATTTTTTGCTGGATTTCTTGATACGTATCAAACAATTCTTTTGTCACAAGGTGGAGAACAAAACAAGGCCAATACGTTACATACTGAGTCTTCTGGGGAACCAGGAACATTGCCGAAAGAACATATAATGCAGTCTGAAATCCCTCCACACACGATCCATGAGCCTGTTAGACTGTTGGATGCCAATCAGATATTCCAGCCGTTTTTATCAGGGTTAGGAGTAATGCCCCAGCAACTGCGATTTACAACTATGTCGGAATCAGGTTATTTTATATTTGAAATGAATTTTACTAGAATCCTATTCTATACATCCTACTTTTTACAATAGACCAATTGTTAATCTATTTTATGTTAGGGGCAGGTAACGATGTAACAACATTAGACGCCCTTGGATCAAACCTTTGTCTGGTTGGTAATTTGGACACTCTTCGAATTGATATAGTGGTGTCGGAACATGGAAAAATCGAAAAGAGGAAGGGCAAGAATAAAGGAAAACGGGGATTATTAATTGGTGAGCACAATTTTGAAAATTGTTTGGTTTGAAAAATCCTTTTTTAATATATATCTTATAGAAATTAGTACAAGTGATGAATCGCCATCTTTTGTATGTGAAAAAGTCTGTATTGACCTGGAAGTAGATCGAATGACCGATATGGCTGTGAACGAGTTAATGAAAACACGAAATGTGCTATACATTTCCAGAGGACAGCTTAAAAGTCATACTTCAACAGTAATTAATTTTACTGTAGGAATTCGTTATATTCATCAAAGGGTTAACATGCCTTTGCTAAGGTATATGGTAAAAGTGTGTGGTTAATGTGTCATTCATGAGTTATGGTTTTAGATTATTGCATCAAATTAGTAACATGTATCAAAACGTAAAAGACACTCAAAATGAGCTTAGAGAGCAACAGCCTCCTGCTGAACTAAGAAGATCAAAAACGAGTGCAAGCGATCACAATGATCAGAAACATCAGGGTTCCACGTTGGATTTTTTACAGGTAAATAAAAATCTGAACTAATCTCATCTCCGTGTCGTCTGAAAATGTTGGGTAAAAAGTCGTTAAACAAATATTCGCTTATTTGCTTTTATTGGCAATTTACTTTTGGTACTGTTTTAATTATTAGCATATAGTGTTTATGGTTAAGTTGGAAACTGTGATATGCTCATATCTTTTGCTAACATTAAGTCCAAAATTGCCGTATTTGTGTTTGGTTGACCAATCCCATTCCATTTAAAATTCCAAAGTTGCCTTTATCTATCAAAGAGGGCGCTTGAGTAGGATAATAAAAAATATGTTCAAACATGTACTTTCTACTACTTTCCAAAGTAGTAGAAACTATTATTTTCCAAAATGTTTATAAATGTATTGCAATTGAGATAGTTTCAGAGATATAACCTTGTAACACTTAAAAAAACTTACCTTGTATATGTGCCCACAATTATGAAAGTGGTCTAAGTAAAAAAAAATGAGTTTATTCAGTGTAATTTTTTCGATCGTCAAAAGTGAGCCATTGGACGGACGGTGGTTGTAATTTCAACATTATATGGAATTCATTTAGTGTTAATTATGAAAGTGGACTAAGTAAAAAATTAAAGAAATCATCATATAAACATAACTTGAAAATGGCGTGTGGCCTGGAACTGATCGTCGTGACAAGAAACGCGTCAAGGAGGGCCCTCTTTCATGTCAAAAGCTTCCTCGTTTATAAAAGACATTTTAAAAGATAGTCTTAAAACTTCAAGTTCAACTTCAATTCATTTGTTATTACTGTTATTTGAATAAACTGTTTTAGCTATAAAATTATTTAGATCTGCGGTTGCGAAAAAATTATCGATTTGCGGTTTTCACTATTTCGCTTCATTTTTCGTTCTCTTTGTAAGCATACATACGATACCATTACATTTCAAAAATTGAAGAAAAATAACAAAGTTTGACCACCTTTGATAACACGCTCTCCCGCGACAAAAGAAGCAATCATAAGAGCGAATATTTTATAGCATGAGTTGAAGTAAATAAAACGCTTTTTAACTAGAATTTAAATTTTGAATTTGGTTCAGCTAATACAGAGCTATCAATAACTTGTTGAACCAATATTTGACCTTCCCCCACCACTTTATTTGTGTAGCTACAACAATAACACTCCCACAAAAAATAAGTGAAGTTTTCTCAGGAATAAAATGAAAGTATTTGCAAGCTACCTTCGCCTGACCTAAACCGCTAAAAATCAGTATTTAACATTTACTGTTGAAATTTTGCCCTCTGGCGGCCATTTTGCGACCTTGAAAGTAATTTCCAGCAATTTCTCTTGGTCACTTTACTCATATATTTTTTGAGCCACTGAGATTTGTAGAGACCCCGTGCAAATTTTTGTCCATCATTTGTAAAATGCTGGATAAAAGCAAAAGAAAATTCCATGGAATTTTTTGGATTCTCATTTTAGTTGCAAAAAGCACTTCCGTATAATACACTTTCTGTCTCGTTAGCCTATTATAAGCGTAAAGGAAAATATGTACGTATTCAACTGGGATTTCCATAATTTTCATGACGACAATGTTAAGATGTATGTATGGTATGAAACAGCTTCAAGAATTGCACGGGAAGTAGCATCATGCATTTTAGTGCAAATGGAGGATATAACTACTCAAAAACACGTAATAGCTAACAGTGATGCTTGTTCAGGCCAAAATCGTAACATTAAAGTAGCATTGACATGGATGAAAATTGTTCATTCATCAAATAATAAATAAAAAGAAATGAAATTAAATTTGATGTGCTGTAATTCGAAAAATATTCAGATGTCGAATTTTTGTTACATAACTTTCTACCATTATTTTAGCATGTAGAATCACCCTGAAAATTTTCCCGACGCATTTTCCGACCACCCTGTCCAGCTAACTAATTATATTAATGATAATTTGCTTTTCAGGATGTTCCTTCGAATTTATCCAAACAGCTAACTTTGAAAATTTCCGATCCAGGTTCTTATACTTCTCAAAACAAGCCTGTGATTTCACCGAGTCCCAGTTTGAGGTCTAGGCCTCAAAGTTTTGCACAAAAATTACGATCAACAGGTAGGTGTTTATAAGAATGTAAAATAATATCAGTTTAAGTGGATACTAAGGTGATTTTAATTTTTATACCGTTTTTAACAATTTTCAGGGAAGAATGTGAAAGGCTACGTTAATCTAAACGAAGGTGTAGGAACTCCGATTAGTATTAGCACTCCTAGTGGATCTGGTTTGGATCGAATAACTGTATCCTCCGATAAAAGTACCGGAAAATGTTGGAAAACCATTTATTATTTGTTGGAGTTGTATGCAAATATGCCGGATACAAAAACAATTAAGCACAGGTATATTTAGCTTAAAAACGCACAATAACATTTAAAACACCCAGAATGATTTCTTGACATCGGCTACTGTTTCCGAAATAACCCATAAAAGCAAGAAATTTTACCCACCCTCTACGTGAAGCTAGTTTTCGCCATCATGTTGCCTGCTGTAGACCAGCTCGAATCTGGTCTGTCCATCTGGCTCTGATGATCCTTTTACTCTCCCCTGTATGACTGTCCTCTCTAGACCAGTGTTAGTTCTCGTCTGTTGTCGTGGCCGAAATATTTAACAATTTTCTCGAGCAGTATGCTGGAGAGACGGTGTCCCGCATGGACTTCACGAAGTACGGAGACGTTAGTCCGATGCGCCGTCCAAGGAATTCGGAGCATTTTTCTCCAGCACCACAGCTCAAGAGAGTCTATTTTTTCGCTGATGTTCTGCTTTAGGGTCCAGGTTTCGGCTGCATATAACATGATAGCGAAAACCATCGGATGTAGATTTAAAAAGAACCCATTTTTGGAATTAAAATAACTTTGGTACATATTCATGTTCATTACTACTGCATTTTCAGATTTTCTGTTGGTACAAATGATATATCTGATCATTACAAAGGAAACCGTAAATATGACATCCTGACCGAAATGAAATCTAGCGAAGATTTGGAAAAAGCAGAAAGCACTCCACCATTAAATTTACATCGGGAATTATATAGAGAAAGCAGTCATTCGGGCTCTAATGGTCATATAAAACTGGTTGTATTTGGCATGGCTAGAATACATAGGACTAGATTATTAGCTACTTTGTCTGGGCTGAAACTGGAAGCTGAAATCACCAGTTTACATAGCAGCTTAACGGTAAATACGGTATCTGAATATTCATGTAGCAAATAATGATATTGTTTACCTTCGTGCCTTATATTCAAATTTCATATACTAACCGTTAATTGATATTCAACAGGTACGTAAGAAATCAATTCCTCCATTGTTGGAATGCTCTCTAACTGGTCAAGTTGGGAGAACCATGATTGTTTTGTTAGAAGGAGTGGCTCCAAATTTACAAACAGTTGTTAAGGTAAGCATTTCAACTGTTTTAACGACTTACTAAGTACATTGACCTGGGATTTATTACAGGTCACTATAGGTAAATCTCAGGCGTTATATTCTTCAGTAACAAAGCGACAAAAAGATAAAAACTCCGGATTATTGACAATTGGTGCTGTTAATATTGATATCCCACAGCACCCAGTTGCTTTGCATGGAATGGTTACCAGAGGTAAGAGATGTTGAGTATGATGATGAATGTTTGATTGTTAGCCGAGTGAAATATTTGCCGTTCTCGCTAAAAAACTTTAATAACCACTTCCTTAAAAAGATCCCCCAACCACCTAACTAACACCAGTCAGGTAAAGCCTGTACCATGAGCTTCATAAATATGCAGAAGTCCCAACAAGAGAGTCTGAACATATGAAGTAATTAATTGCTCTGAATTGATGTTAAATGGTTTTTAGTTACTAGTCAATTTACTCGAACTATTTCTTCTTTCACTTCCACGAACTATTTTTGTAATTTTCAGGTAGCAAGCAGTTAAGTTCAACTTTACAGGAGCTTCGCGTGCAAAGAACTTCGAGTCGCATGTCCAGGGGAGTGCAGAACGACGAAGAACAGCAAAACTCACCCAATCACCCTCTCAAACACACTCCGTTAACCGGCCCTACTTTAAGCAAAACGACTGTGGTGGAAAAGGGCTTGTTACAGCCGTTAGTTATGCAATTTTCGGTTATTCTTCAGGTAAAGGGTTTTCTTTTTAAATATTTGAACTAATATTTTATCAAGTTTTGAAGTGTAAAAAATGTAGATTTCCTGCGCTTGTGGGATTGTATCTGAAAAATGTTTGTTATTTCAACTGGTTTGTTTATTTTGAAATCATTTGATGTGACTGGAATATCGAGTATAAATATGATAATTTTAGAGTTTGAGCATCACAGCAGCTCTGCTACCCTCTCTTCAAGCTCAATATAAAATGGACCAAGTTAATAGCACGGGATTCACCGGTAGTAAGGCCAAGTTTACCATTGATTTGCCTCATCACAGTTTGAGCTTCACAACCAAACTCCCACAAGTGAGTGCGATAAATTGCTGCTTATACTCAGATATGTAAAAACGCTTTAATCAACTGAAATCGATTGGTTATTATTTAGGGATATACTCAAACTGACAAGAGCGAAGCTAAATTGCCATCCGAGGCCAGTATTGCTCTTCCAGCTGTCCACGTGGTGGCAGAATACATTCCAGAGACAGCTGCTAGTGGTATCAGAAACCCGGAAGGTGTGGTCTTTAGACAAGGTGGCTATTTGAATGCTAATGCCGATATTGGAGTATTTGAACATAGCTTGACTACAGATCTGCTTAATCATTTGGTGTTTGTTCAGAAGGTGTTTATGAAAGTAAGTGCAAATAATTGTAAATGTTGAATTAGAAACGTCCTTTTATTAAGACTTATAAAGACTAAGTATTTAGCGTTGCTTAGGACAATTAGGGCAAAGTCGGGCATTTTGATGTTTAACAAAATGGGGTTTTAGAAGTTGGAAATTTCCGACTAAGGACTGAGTCAGAAAAAATCGCTACACACATCAAAAAACCAAAATTTCAATCATAAGCGGCTCTTCCTTAGAAGCTCTAAATGATTTTGACATATTAAACAATTTTTTTTGTAGATAAATGACATCTGAATAAGAAGAGCGTAAATTAATAATCGAAATTTTCTTCAAAATCCCTCGTGGATCCACCAAAAAATTGCCACAGATGTAATTTTTTTTTCTTTTCCAATTCTTCTAACATTCTGCAAAGATATTCTTTATTATCCGTTATCATCACCACATGGTCAGCAAAACTCAGGAGATTTTGCCTTTCTTCGTTGATGTTGATGTCTGTATTTGGCCATTCAAGTTGCTTGAACACGCCTTCTAGCCAGTGATATCATACTTGGGATTTTTCTCAGGCAAAAGAAATTTGTTATAATTATCTAGGGATTAAAAAAAAAGATTTTTTTTAAAAGAAAATTTTAGTATATCGGACTACAGAAGGCTGACAAGCCGAGAGCAGTGATGCCATACTAGGGAATTTTTCTCTAGTTCTGGGGATTTTTAGAAACAAATTAATTCTGGGCAGGAAATATTAAAATATCGGTCTACAGAAGGCTAACAAGTAGAGGAACTACAATTTGTTTTAAGAAATTTTAATTAATTATCCTTTAACGTATTTTTTAATTTCCCGGAAATTATCTTTACTGGGATACAAAAATCAATATATTTTCAGTGAGTGCCATTTGCAACTACCCATCTACATATAAACTTTGTCAAATACCTATTTAAATTAAAGCTTGAATTTAAAAGAATAAATAAGAACACGAATTAAAGCAAAGTTATGAGTTCCATTTTTTTTTTCATTTTATAAACTTTGTAATATACCGTTTCCAACAACCTTTTTTGTTTCATTTAAAAAATGTTATTAAACATTTTTATTTATAATTTTTTTTCAAAATCTAAGTAGAACTAGGTATTTTTTAAGTGACCATTTGGGAATTTTAATTTTGCCGATCTCGCTTCACTGCTGATGTGTCTCCTGGACGTATGCCTCTCTTTATTGGGATTGCTTGGGTATCCTAGTATATTCTTAATCAGGTCCCTGTATCTACTATCTATACGTGCGTCATCCATTTCTTTCATGGTGTATGCTATCAAAGGCTTTTTCATAATCTACGTAGGCCATGAATAAGGGTAGGCTGCTTTCTCGATTAGGATCCTTATTGTTAGAAGATGATCTGTTCTGTTGAAACGTTTGCCGAAATCAGTATTATATGCAATTTTTGACATTTTCTGCATTTCTAGACTCAATTGTTTTTTAAAGGGAGTAAAAATTTCAAATCAGTATTTGCGTCAATTTGAGAAATACCAATTTATTTATTTTAAGTTTTGATATCTGTAGACAAGTATAACGAAATTTTCAAATGGGTACTTGTGTAGTTTGAAGGACGCGAATTTTTAATTGAGAAAGCGCATTTGATTGAACACATCCATTTTGAAATCTCTGTTTGCTAAGATGTTTTCAATTAGTATTAAAGGCGATTTCCATAACAGTAACTACATTAGTAGGAACAAGTCTTTTTTTAAAGATGGTGGAACTTTCAAATTCGCATTTGAATTAGTTTGAAAGTTGCTAATTTTTAAAGGAGAAAGCGCAGTTAATTAAAATCATCCATTAAGAGCGATATTTTCTCAGCCAGTAAAACGCAAGTCATAATATGATATAATTTGATGTTGATAAATCTAAAAATGATGATATTTCCGAATTGGTACTCGATTTAGTTTGGAAGACGCACGTTTTTTAAAGAATTAGCTCAGTTGAGTGAAAACATCAATTTTAAAATCTGTATTTGCTAATTTGTTAAAAATCAGTATTATTGCCGATTTTTACGACACTGTATTTGTAGGAAAAAATAAAGTTTTTTTAAAGATAGATTAGAATTTGCGTTAATTTGGAAGATGCTAATTTATAAAGGAGACAGCGCAGTTGATTAAAAGCATCCACTATGAGTCCGACAATTTCTCAGCTGGTAGAACTTATGACTCAGAAATATTTTTATTGAACCATCTGTATAGATATGCTTAGCTGGGATGCTTAGGTGACTCAGCCATTGTATGCCATATCTTAACCCTTTTTACGCTAAAGTATGCCTGCTGGAAATCTATATATTACTGGTGGAAGTCTTGATTGAATTCCCAGATCTTCTCTAGCATTTGCCTAATGGTGAACAGATGGTCCGTTGTTGTTTTATTTGCTCGGAAACCGCGCTGGTAGTCTTCTAATATTTTTTTAGTGAAGGAGGTAAGATAGGACTTTAGAGGTCTATGGTCCTTTTTGCGGATCGGTATCATAATACTCTCCTTCGAGTCATCAGGGGCCTTATTCCTCCCGGGGAATTTGTATATTGCCGATTGCCTAAAATCGGCGAAAATCAAATTCGATATTCACAACTATTTCTGTATCACAGATTACGTGTGTGTAGTGTTTGCGCATGATAATAAGATTCTCACACATGTGAATTGTCACTCGTCCCTCTAGCCCTGGTGAACTAGCTCTCATTCTACTCGGTCGATATAAATTGGCGCATTCCATGTTCAAATATTCATATGTTCTTTGTGTTATTGGCCTTTGTGTATCCGTCCGGATCCGAGGCTTCTGTTTTTAAAGATGTGGGGTTGTTATCCCCACGTTCAATCCTCTTTTCTCAAAACGATCTTCGGACCGTCTACAGCAGAGTTCATAATAAAAATTATTATTATTATTCTACGACATATTTCCAGTTTGTCAATTATTTTTATACGCTAGTAATTTGTCAGTTGAACCCGTTTTTCCAGCCTTTGAATTAGTGCACTTAAAAGTTAGAAAAATGTTAGCGGCCGAAGAAAGAGACTAAACAGTTTTGTATTTAACTAATCCTCATCTATCTATCTAATCCGAAATGAATTGGCACATGCAAACCTTTCTTATTTAAACCTTGCTATTTGTACAAAGCCGATTTATTGCAGTAGTTAAAGCGTTTACGGAGCTACTTGACTAAACGTAAAAATTGCATAGAGCGTTCCTCCCCGTACTTGTTTGATCGATGCTTCATCGGGTCAAGGTGGACTCGATGTTGCCGCATTAGACTTTCATTGGTCGCTCTACTTCATAGTCGAATTTAATTGGTCATTTTTGTGGGGTACTTTATTTAGATTTATTTACATTTCAAGAAAGGACCTAAGTTTTATCAGGCAATGTCGGGGCATCTCGGGTATTTTTATTGGGTGTTCACGTAGTATTTTTAAGCTGCAGGTATTTTGTTAATATTATTAGACAATAAAAATGGCATTTTGGCGCCCTTTTGATACCAGTAATAATAAAACGGATCCGTGTGGTAAATATTTTTAATCTTTTAAGTAATTAATATGAAGAACGCCTTTCTTACCTTTTAGAGCCGACGCAGGCGGAATTTGCACATAAAGACTTGCACGTTCAAACTCAAAGAATCATTTTAAATATATACTCTCGTTTAAAAGTTGAAAGTGATGATTGGATGATGGAAAATTGCATTTTTAAGAGAATTTCTGAATTGAGCAAACTTAGCCGTTCGACAATTATAAGAGTGATTAAAGCTGGTGATGTAATTGATCACTCGGTTAAACGCAAACGAATTGGCAATAAACTTAAAAAAATTGACTAGTAGAGTAGAACTCGACCAAACTGATTTATGGAAGAATTGTGTATCTCACCAATCAAGAGTCAAGAAAACGAATATTGCGTTTTACCCCCGATTGGCCCGATAGTTATTAATGTTAATAACACTTTTATGCTGGTCTAAGTGAGGTCGTATAAACTATACTTAATACCTAAGTTTATTCAATAAGCGCTTCTTTCTTCAGGAGAGTTCGCAGTGAAAATAATAGTCAGCTGCAGTTAATTTTGCATTGTACTAAAACAATAAGTAATAAGTTTAAAGGAATTGCTTGGTTATATTGCAGGAAGTAAATGAAGTTGTGCAGAAAGTATACGGAGGCGAAAGACCAGTCCCGTTGTGGTTGGAGGACAGCGAAGAACCGTCTACTTTAAATAGACTATTGTTTTCTTTGATTATCAAAATTCAAAGGATTCAGCTCACAGCAACTACTGCAGGCAGCTCGGCAGTAAGGTTAGAAACAGGTGAGTTCAAATTTAATTACCTATTGGAGTTGAAAGCGGAAGAAATTTAACTTATATGCAAGAATAACCCAAACAAATTAAAAATATAATCGTTTTAATATAATAGTTACGTTTTAACAATTTTTTAGGCGCTGTTGTTCTTGAGCTTTCGAATAGAGTGCAAAATGTATCAGGATCGAAGCCCAGCGGTACTACGGCAAGGTTGTTTGGAAAGGCGCAAGTTGATCTGAATTTATCATTGGGGCAAATAATACGAAATGCTGTTTTTGAAGAGGCTGACATTGAATATCAACATGTGGCCTTTTTCAATACGCAAATTGTACTGCGAAATGCGTTTCAGGTAGAAACGTTCAGTTTTCAATTCGTTTCAATTTTATAGAAATGCTTCTTTGTTCTTAACTTTTTTAGGATGAGATTGTTGAAGGTGAAGACAAAGAGGTCGTTATAATAACATTAAAAAGGCCGCTCATCTATGTACAGCCCGTGGCTGTGGATAAGGCAATTTTGGTATGGCTGAACTACAAGAATGCCTACGATTATTGGAATGAGAAAAGGGCGAATTTGAGTAGAGAAACTAAGGAGGAGAAGTTCCAGTTTGGGCAGCTCACCAGCCAGCTCGGAACTCCGCATTTAGGAACATTGTTTTTACAGCTTACTGTCGAAGATATGGGTATTTGTTTGCCTTTAAATCATTTACCAATGACTTGGAATGTTAGATCAGGTTATGATGATAGTAGAGGTGCCGTTGTTGTCACTTTGGAAAACACTAGTATTTCTGGCAAGTACCCTATGAAAAATGTAAACGTCAATATTATATTTTTATTTGTTTTTTAGCGTGCAGTTCTGGTTCGCTAGTGAGCAAAGGCAAATTTTCGAATTTATGCCTTAGATTTGCAGAAGAATTCGAAACTTCCTTGGATGATTGGAAGCCTGATATGGCAGACTCATCTATTATGAATCTTTGTGTGGTTAGCGATGGAACTTACGAAGTCTGCAGTCGGACATTGACGGCTAAGGCAAATGGTAAGGTGTTGATCCTGAAATGATTCGCGATATATTCGATTTAAATGGTTTTTGTTTTTGCGTTTCTTTCTCAAAAATGGTTTTTTGCGTTGTTTCAGTGAGAACTCATGGGTTTGAATAAATTCGTTGTCTACTTCAATTGCTTTGGTTTTTTGAAAAAACTCATATTCGTTAATTTCAACATTTTATTGTTTCTTTTTAATTTTTAATTTATTTATTCAGTCTGCTGCAAACATAGGTCTACCATCAACTACATCTATTTCAACATATTAATAACTACGATCGATCGGTCATTGATTTGAAAATTTATACAGGGCGGTCGAATAATACGTTAGGAAATTTTTAAGGGTGATTCTACATGCTATAATAATAGGCAATAGAGGGATTGTTCATGATAAATCCTATCGGAAAACCACATACACCATCACGTGCAAGGCAGTCCGTACTTTATTTCTACGTTTTGGACAACAAAAAAATGTTGTTAATTTTTTATAAACAATTTTCAACAAAAAATTGCATTTTATTTAATTTCTTGCTTGTAAAATCGACACGATTGAAGCAATCTTAATGCTGTAAAACTACACATTACCTGCTTATTCTACCATCAGCGCGCTCGTATACTTTTCCCCTCAACCAGCAGTTGACCACCACTCGGCCGCTTTAGTGCGCTCGGCCGTTTTCACTTATATTCAAGACTCTTTTTTACCCACCTAAACGCAGTTAATAGAAAAACTGCAATATACGTTTTGTTGCTACTCATGTCTAGTTTCCAAATCCATCTTTTAAATTCCAATCGGACAATCTCAAGCGCAAGCAGCCCTCATCGAAAAAATCGCTTAAACAAATTGAAATGCGAATTGTGCGAAAATTTTGTATCCGACCGAGCACAGTTGTTGCACAGATGAAGTATACAGGGTGATTCACGGTCGATGGCGTATTAGACGTTTAAGGAGAACGCGACGCCCGATCTATCTGCAAATTTGTACAACGAATTGCTATAACGATACGCTCTATCGGTCTAAAATATATTTTCAGCAATGCCAGGTTGCCGCTTATACCGAAAAGTACATACAACTTTGATATTTTAAATGAGACACCCTGTATATTATTGCAGGGTTAGATTCGCCATATAGATATGATTATTTTTGCATAACGATCCCTGTATCTATCTAAACCGGCTTCCGAAATATTAAATAAAATTAATTATTTTTTATCAAAATGTAGCCCCAAGGAACCTTGTATTACAACACGATTTTGATACCTGGAAATTTTAAATTTTGGTGCTGCGTTAGGAAAACCCTATTCTTGAGCCACGCGTACAGCAATTTGTTCCAAATTATACAGGATGTCTTGAAAATACTGGCCTTTCGGCTAGAGATAAAAACTGCTTCAATTACATTTTTTAATGAGAGTTTATGGGTTGTAAAACACACTTTCTTTCGTAGTTTAATTATAAAATACTGTGTAGCACTACTGGAAAAAATGCATTTTTTAGTGTAATACATTTCAATTTTAGAAAATGCGAAATGGTTACTTAACGTTCAGTGGCAAATGGAAGGTGTGGATATTCACTTAGACACCAACGTTGGAAAACAGCTATCTGCTTTAGGACATACTCTCACAATGCTCACTGGTATGTATTAACGTGCAAACACACTTGCTAAAATAGACAAACTACAAATTTCCAGTTTTTACGAATCCTATTGACACACTACCCACCTTTTCGGAATAATCTAATCAGCCCTGTGCTGTATCACTTACGTTAACTTTAACGTGCATGTTATCCGTCAAACACGTTATGTGGCTCGAACTGGTGTGTTGTATCAGTGAAACCGTTATATTATAACAGGCGCAAGCTATCGACGAACATTACATGTATTTAGAAATAGCGTTTCAGAGTAACATTATCAAATCACATGCCGCTTTCGAACTTAACGTGCGTCCCTCGAAGTTAACCTCGGAGGAATAAATAAAACAATTGTGTTTAATCAGAGCGTAGTTTTGTGTCTTTAATTTAAAACAAAAATATGTCTTTTGGTGGTCTTATAAGGTTAGCTTTATTAGAACAGATGGAAGCGGGTGTGTACACACTGAAGAACATCCAATCAAAGGGAATGCAAACTTGTATTATAGTGTGTATAATCGGTATAATCGGGGCTGAAGTTTACAAGAACTAACCCAAAATAAACTTCAACCCCGATTATTCACACTATAATACAAGTTTGCATGCCCTTTGATTGAATTTATTAGAACAATTAGTAAATTGGTCTTGAAAATAAACTTTATTTTCCTCCACAAACTCTAGTAAATTTTCGAATAGTTTGCGAGTTATTTTTTTGCCTCTTCTGTGGATGGTCCATTGAAAGTGTTTGAGACATAGGTCAAGAAAATTAAAAGTGAATGCAAATCATAGCAAAGTATAGTAGGTGGGCCAAATGGTCAAAACGTGCACATGTGGTACATATGTTTTAGAAGCTTCGATGGTTTGATGTTAACTCTCTCTCTAACTAATAGACTATTCGTATAAGGGCATCTCACTTTATGCATCCAATATTTTTTCCTTTATAACGTTTGTTGGATAACTGGGTCGGAAACGCATACGTTAACTCGGAGTTAGAGCACACTTCAGTTGTGTTGCTGCGTTATCGAAAATGTTATCCTGATCTGTTAAGTTGCCATAACGTGTGGCTGTTAAAAATATGATTTATGAAACAGCATAGGGCTGATTATCTCATTTCCGTAAACGGCTAAGGTAACATCAACTCTGAAACACCCTATGTATTTTCGTTTTATTTTGCTCATAGCTGAGTAAGGAATATTTGTTCTCTGGGTCCAAACCAAACTCCCTATACATTATATATTTTAAAATATGTTTGTCCACACAGCAGTATCGAATTCAATGATATACGCTTTATTTGCGGTAGCGATTCAGGATCGGTTTGCAACCGATAACAAACCGAATTATAAAGTAGGCGCGGTACAAAACCTGTTCAGAACCGATCCTTCGTTCCCCGAACGCTTTTAGAACCAGATTTTAGTAGTACCAACAGGATTTTAGTTACTTTGTGCCTAACAGTAATTTGCCTAAACTGAAATGCAATGGAGTGAAAGTGGAAAGGCGGACTTTTTGCAGGTCGGTTGATCGCTCAGTCCCATCCTGAAGAGGTGTTTTTTTGCAGGGGGTGTGTTCTGTTAAAAAGGCCACTATCCTCCTTATTTTTTGTCTGCTGAGACCTAGCAGTTCATTTTTACGTACTGGTTGTGGAGGTCCCACCAACTGCTTTGCGGTATGGAGTCGCGGTGTCTCCGCCCAGTACTTTCTGTGTTGTTCCAAGATCCACTGCCCAACTGCCACCCTTGGGCTTGGGCAAAAGTGGCAGTTTTTGATTATTTTGAATTAAAAAAAATTATTGAGGTTTTTTGTCGCATTTAATTAATTTAAAAAATGCCACTGTATTTAACCTGCATTTTTTTGTACATTTACCGCTGGTGGTACAATTGGTACTACCAACGACCTTTTGTCTGTATCCCATTTCTTAATTCAAATTTATGGCTTTGTTTCCATTCACCCTGAGGCGTAAAATTGCTAACATATGTGGGCAATTCCAAGTATATTTCTACATTGCCGTTCTGATCAAAAAATTAGTTAAATAAATGCGATATAAACATTTAAAAAAATTACTAATTCTTAAACTAAATAGTGATTCACAAATTATTATACAATAGAAAATACATTTTTCATGACTGGTCTGGCAAAGTCACTTACCAAATCCTCAAAATCAATCGATCAAAGTAAATCACTTTCAATGCTTCTCCTTAAGGTTTACTAATGGAGCGAAAGTTGAAAAAAAAAATAAAAAAATAATACTTACCGGGTGTACTTAAAGAGAAGTTAGGCAAGGTTGCGTGATGTCGCCATTGCTATTTAACATTTACCCGGAAGAGATTATGAAAAAAGCGCTAAATGAGGAAGAGGTAGGTATAAAAATAAACGGAATGCCTATAAATAATAATAATACGTATGTCGACGATACTCTAGAATACTTTCAACAAATTTTAACCAAGGTAGTTACAGCAAGTGAGGAAAAGGGCCTAACACTCAGTGTTAAGACAGTTCAATTTATGATGGGTGAGCGGTGGCATCTACATACATGATGGCCCCATAGAGCGAGTACACAAGTATGACTACCTGTGAATGAGCGTCAATAACAACAATAACACAAGGCCAATACGAAGAAAATAGAGACCTTTGAAACGTGGGTTTATCGGAGGCTGCTTGGAGTCTCGTGGAAGGACAAAATGACGAACGTTGAAGTCATGCGGAGAATGGATAAGGAAGCGGAAGTGGTACTAACCATCAAACGGCGAAAACTGGAGTACATTGGCCACGTCATGAGAGGGGAGAAGTATCAACTGCTGCCGCTTGTTATGCAAGACAGAATCCAGGAAAGAAACGAGCTGATTGCCGACGCATATCTTGGCTGAGAAACCTAAGAGAATGGTATAAATGCACATCCACCCAGTTGTTTAGAACAGCGGCTTCAAATATAATGATGATTGCCAAACTCCGAAAGAGAATGCACTATGGAATGGAATGGACTTTTTAACGCAATATAACTTGTTTTTTAAATTGAAGTACCTGTATATTAATACGTCATTAGATAGACAATTTACAAAGTTACAAATTTGCATTTACACTTCAAGCTGTGAATCAAATTATAATTTATTTTATTTAAAAATTTCAAAAAGTTTCTACATTTTGTAAGGTGGCTATGGAAGTCAATAAATAAGTGTCAAAATTTGATCATTTACCTAATTATATCAAGGAGAGGATGTGTTATTTACATGATGGAGCTCCAGTTCACCATGCAGCTCAAATTCATGAGTACCTAAATAATAAATTTTCTGAGAGGTGGATAGGCAGAGGTGGGCCTGTTTAGTGGCTACCTCGTTCACCCGATTTGACAAAAATGGATTTCTTTTTATGGGCTTACGTCAAAAACGAAATTTAAAATTAACTCCAACTACAAAAGATAACATGAAAGAACGAATCACAACTGTTTTTCGAAGCATTAATAATATTGTTTTGAACTGCGTTAGCGATTCATTTCAAAAACGTAGATATTAATAGTTGCTTAAATGTTAACGGAAATCTTATTGAACATTTATTTTAAAATATAAGTAGGTATAATTTTATATTTTTATTTTTATAGTCGTATGCAGTTTTATTGCATTTTTTGCTATGAAATTTCCTGCATTTTATAAAACGTTGCACTTTTCTTCATTGATTATGTCAAGTATCATCAAATTTTGACACTTATTTAATGAATTCCATAGCCACCTTACAAAATGTAACAACTTTTTGAAATTTTTAAATAAAATAATTTATAATATGAAAACGGTTGACGTCACAGCTTAAAGTGAAAAGGCAAATTTGTAAATTGGCTATCTAATGACGTATTAATATACAGGTACTTCCATTTGAAAAACAAAAGTTACATTGCGTTAAAAAGTTTTAGATTGAAGTCCACATTGTTAACACCTTGTACAATGTATTGATATTTTTAGATACGTTTTTACGCAAAATTTTACTAAAATGGCGATAATCTGTCAGCGTCGCAAGTAAGAAAAAAACAATTTGCGGTGCGTTTGCAGCGTTTCAAGCTGCATTCCATGAGCTAATGAAAAATGGATTGTTTTATTTAAAAAATTCCACTTTGATCTTGCCTCACTTTTCTGAGACGCGTGCGTCAACAACTTTTATATAAAACTATTTTTCGAAAGTTTAACACCAACGGAAGTAATGGACTCTCTCGCACTAAAAAACCACCCTGTATGTGCGCAAATTTTAGAAAGTAGGGAAAGGAAGAATGCTGGTTGGACCCATTGTTTCACCCGCCGACAAAAAGTCGACCGCAAACAAAAATGTCCAGTCTCTCCTAACAAATCAAAAAAATGATGATGGAAGCTAGTCCCTATGCCAATGCCAACCCTACGTTTTGTTTGTTCTGCGCTTTAAGGTACTGGTAACGGACAGGATCCGATCGAGTTCTTACTGTACCGGGAACATAGAACTTTGGGTTCAGAACTAGTCACTTTTTTCCGCGAACAACCAATGGCTCTACGCGCATGCGATAAGTTCCGAACCAGACCTGAATACTGCGAATTGATAACTTTCAGGAGCAGAGGATACCGCAATTCCCTTAGATTATGACTCTGACGAAAACGATCCTACAGACGGTACTCGGACTTCACAAGAAAGCATTTTGCCTGCATTTATGTTTGATCCATCATTAGACAACAGAATGAGATCTAAACTTATCGAGAAGGAAATGAACGAACAAGCCAAAATTATTACAGATTTAAGGTATGGTTGTAGTATTTTCTTGGCAACTTAAATAGTAATTTTATATCATTTTAGATCATTAGGTGCCTCTCACGGAACAATAGAATTGGAGATGAAAAGGTTGCAGGAATTAGAAACGATGGTTTATAAAGATTTTCGAAGGTGAACATTATTGGTGCTATTTTTAACATGTCATTATTTTTAGAGAGATATGAATTTGTAGAGATATGATACAGAAGTTGCGAAGACAAAGCATGAGAGCATCATCAATCAAAGGCAAATTTGGATTGGGCTCGAAGAGTAGCACTTTTAGATCTAAATCCTTTGTGGTACCCAGTCCTATGCCAGAAGACAACGGAAGGTAAATGTGAATATGTTTATTTTTATTTCTTTATGTAAGTAGTTGTGACGTAGATCCCATCTCCATTCGCTCGAGTTGCGTGCGGAGGGTACTTCCGGAGATTGTCTGCTGGAATGGGAATCACGACCTTGTCGCTGCATTTTGGACGGGTTGGTTTATGCGCAGCGAAAAAGTTAAAAAATAATCGTGATGGTTTATCGCGTAGAGAGAACAAAAAAACAACCACAATATCTGAGCTAAAACTATGCCGTCTATGGCTCGCGTACCTGCATCGCGCACAACTGCCCCGTGGTGGGCTCGAGAGTTTTTTCTCGGTGCCCATATTCTCGAAATTATCGATCGATGTTTGCAAAGGAAAAAAATGTGTGGCTCGCCTGACTTTACCAATACTGTATTCTTGAAATGTGTGATCGTGAACCTACGAAAAGTGAGAGAGCGTTGCTCTACAGCCTTCTCGTGTAGGAATAAGCAGTTAGAACGTGCGCATAACCACGCATACCTCAACCTCATAACCTCGTGTTTGGATATTATTGAATTGTTTACTATAATGTACTTACATACATAAAAATCTAACAATAATGGATAGTGCAGGAGATTGGGAGTGTGGCCTCCCAATAACAATGTTGAAGAGATGCTGCTAATGAACGTCGGAAAAGCGTGAGAAACACAATTGAGCGATGGAATGGTGTTTTAAAAAATAGTTTTAGATGGTCATGAAAACACAGTTTTGCACTGCTGCAGACCGAGCATTTGCTGTTATTAGTAAAAATGTGGATTTTGTTATTTATGGCCATGAAGCAATTGCACGTCCTATCGGTGTCGTAAAGAAAAGAAAAAAGAAGATTTTTTTAACCTTTCGGAAAGACCTCAACACAGCTATTTCGGATAGCAACAAAAAATCATGATAGCCAGAATGATCGCCAACATTCGGAGCGGACAGGCACCCTAAAGCATTCTCATGGGTCCGAAATGCTTTGCGGAAGCGGAGTGCGGAAAGTGCGCGCGTACTACCATTACTACGCCCGGAAAAATTAACGCAATTCACATGTATCCGGATTATTTTTCCGCATTTCGGGAAGCGAGACACGATACAAGTCTTTTTGAAGTTATAAACTTTTTATGGGAGGATGAACAGAAGGCAGAGTCAATTTATGAAAAACGCTCAAGATTAAGTGCAAATCAAGTGTCACAACTATTATTAAAGTTAAGGAACCTGGACCTTGGCACCCATTAAGCCCTCATTAAAGTTAAGGAACCGGGACCTTGGCACCCATTAAGATAGCGCACAGATATAAATACGAGTGCATCGGGCAAGAAGATTCAGACGTAATTTTCATCCTTATAACAGAACGTTGTTCTGATCAAAATATATATTGGCAATCTTAAGATTCCACTATCATAATAAATTTGTTTTAAAAAGTGAATTTCATCTTCAACTTATTTAATTTTAATAACTTTTGATGCAATAATACATATGTTCTATTATTTGTTATTGCGCATCAAAATTGATTTGTTCCCTTCATATACCCTTTGATTCCTTTATGATTAAACCTTCTCAATTAAGTTTATTTTTTTTAGTCTTGGATTAGTTCGGTAAGAATTTTATTTTGAACATACGCGCGATGGCTTACATTATGTATACATATTGTGTGTCAGGTGTATCCTGTCTCTATAGCTCTTCCTCGTTTTACCGTATATTTTAAACAGATAGAACATCTTCAAATCATCAAAATTAATTGATATTTAGTCCTATTCAGATACAAGTTGTAGCAGACGTTCATCAACAGCATACACAAAAGCAAGTATTAAATAATGCTGAACGCCAAAAACGATTTTGTGCTAAAAAAGAGCATTCAGTAATAGATCAACTCAAAGTAGCTTTTATCAACTGAACGTCAAAGATTATACAAAGCAAATAAAAAATTACGACTAAAAAATACAGAAACTCAAGAAGAAGAGTTTGCACAAACCCAATAAGCCCAATATGTACAACATCTCGTTGAAGAATGTTAAATGTTGCAAATAAAAAAGATCTAAAAGATTCAAAAGGAAATTAAATTACATTTTACCTATTCCTGATCAATTTATAAATTATTAAACTAACAAGAATATTAAAATTATGAAATAAAATTATTATTGCCATCATGCGTTTTTTTTATCATAAAGTTATAGATCACTAAGCTGAAACTCTGTATCGATTTTCAATTTGATCCGCCAAGAAATGTGCAGTATAGTTAAAAAAAGTTTGTTTGACGAGCTGGAGGAACTCGGAAAATATTTCTATTTTTTGTTACATGACTTACAACAATTATTTTAGGATGTAGAATCACCCTTAAAAATTTTCTAACGCATTATTCGAACACAATGTATCTTTTCTCAATCTCACATTGCTTGGATTTGTATTAAATTTAAATATTATAAGTAATAATAATAATTATTTATTTAAAGAGCAACAAATTAAAGAAGCCTGAAATGAAACAAAAAACTATAGAATAATTAAAGAGAATATAACCGAATTTATTGCTACTATAAATTTTAAAACAAATAAATAATTAAAAACAAAACTATTAAAATTACTGATTTCGTATATGACCTTCGTTTAACGCTAAACATACTCTATAATTCAATTTTACCTATAATATTTTGAATATATTGGCTATGGTTAATATTAATATCGTTGATTGCATCCACTATTTTATGGTGTAAATCATTTAGGTTTACAACTAGAGCCTCATACACAATATTCTTTAAATAACATTAGAGAAAATAATCAAGAGGCGTTCGGGCGGGGCTATTTGGAGGCCATTGGATAGGACCCGCTCGTCAAATCCAGATAGAACACCGAAAAGGTTTTGTTGAATAATGTGGTCACTTAAGAAAACATTTTCTTTTTCCTTATCGACATTTTTTTTGAGCTGTTCAACCAAATTCATTCAAATATTGCATTGAGCAAACTTGTTAATTAACAGATTACTCTATTTCACACCGTTTTCTATTTTTCCAATAGTTTCATACACTTTTTAAATGTTTAAAAATACTCAAACAAAGATACGCATTTGTTTGCGCATTTTCATAGAATATGAAAACAATCAAATAAATAATATACTCGATCTTACTTGATTATAATATGGGGAACTATCCGGAACATCACCGAAAAATTCACTATAGGCGAAATATTTTTGCTTACAATATATGCAATCATTATGAACGGATTTATTCTATCTGGAACAAAATAATCGTTTAGTGTATCCCACTTGATACAACTAAAATCCGATAATAAGAAACAAAAACAACTGTAATATTATACTGACTAAATCTAAAATTAACGCATCAAAGGGAAATTATAAAAATTTCCATTATTTCCTGATTTTTTTTTACAATCATACAACTTTCAAATTTTTCAAAAGTTTCAAATCATACAACCTACGTGATATTGTAACAAAATATTTCCTACTAATGTTTGAGAAATTATAATGGTTGAATCGGAAAAAAATCAATTAACAAACAAAAAAAACAATAACGTCAAGTACAATGAAAACTTATCAATAAAATGCTTAAAAATAATTATAAAATCTAAATATCAATAAAATGCTGTTAATCAAATTTTGAATGGTTTCTTGGGGAATATTTTCCCATTCGATCAGAACGACTTGCTCGAGTTCCCTAAGATTCATAGAAGCTGGTATGTGTTGTCTGACTGATCGTTTTAGTGCATCCCATAGATGCTGCATAGGATTCATATCTGGGCTTCTTGGTGGCCAGTCCATGGTTGGAATATTCACGGATCGAACGTAGTTAAATATCTCTCGAGCAACTTGGGGCCTAACGTTGTCTCGCATAAATAAGAAAGTGTTCCGGTAAATGCTGCCAATGACATCACTTGTTCTTCTAAAATGTTTTCCAAGTGAATTCATGGATCTCTTCCGTATATGGACCAGATCCGTACGACCATTGAACTTTCCTCCCCAGAACATTACTGATTCACCAAAAAACGGCATCTTCGGGGATATATTACAGGCAGCAAACATCTCTCTTTGCCTTCGCCAGACTCGCTCACGTCCATATGGTGAATTAAGACTTACTCTCGTTTCATCTGAGAAAAAAACTCTTCCAATCGTTTTTTAAAGCAACTTGCATAAGATATCGCTCATCTCTCGCATCTACAGACTTCTTACGACCTTGCCTTTTTGCTCCACAGTAACTTCCAATTTCATTGAAACATTTAACAGTTCGGCTAATTGCTGATTGTCTCACTGGTAACAAACTAGCCACACGTCGCTGGCTACGTCCTTCGTTAACTAGATTATCGCTTTCATATTTTGTTAAGTTGTGTGGACGATTCAAATTGTATGCCCTAAGACAAAGTGCGCCATTTAATAAATGCAATTTACTAAAAAAATAGAGTTAAACTGAATTTGTTGTCTTAAAAATCACTTTAAACAGCGTTATATGCCTTATTCACCTGTCCAAAAATTGTAATTGTTTATCCGTAGTGCCGGAGGATATACCCACATAAAATGTTCATTATCAAATCATCAATCATTCGAATCCTCGAAATATTTCAAGAAATGATGAGAAGTTCTGCTCTGCTGATGAGCTAATTTTGTCCAGGAGTGTATTTTCCTAAACCCCATAAATCCCGTCCTATAATTCCCCATGATTTTACATTTCAATTAATAAATGTATTTTTCTTCAGCCCTGGCAGTGTCAAACTGGATACAGCTGCTGGTAGCTTTGATAGTTCCCCACGATCAGGTCCTTCGCGATCAGCATCTTTACGCGTGAAGACAACCGAGCAAGGGCCAAGGGTAACGTTTAGTGACACACAAACAATGAGCAGGTAATTCTTATTAGTTATCAAATGTGATATTGTATAAAAAAACTAGTTCTCAAGTGCACAAGCAATCATTTCTAACTAAAAATAAATTATATTTACACTACTAACCTGCATATTTCATTATCTTCATTTTAATTAAAGATGTAATTAGTTTTGCCTCTAAACGTCAATTCGTAGCTGTGATCCCATAACACAAGAACTACACTTGAACATTCTATTTCATCAACTATTTCACTTACAGACAAAAATCCTTACCAAGTGCGAGCTCTGAGATAAGCTTACCAGAGGCGCAACTGGATTGGGTAGATCATCTTGACATCGATGGAGAAAAAGTTACTCTGAGAAAAAAGTTTCCTGCATCTTATGAATCTGTTGAAGGGTGAGCTTGAGTTAAAAAAATGCACGCAAATATCTGATATCAAATGATTTATCTAATGTGAATTTTGAATGGTTACATATAGATTGATGGACAATTTTGATATCGATCAAGCGTTGACTTCCAGTCCATTTCACTCAGCAAGCTCCAACTTCCCACCGAGCACTGGCCCCCAGAAGTGCCAAGAGCCAAATGTTGACCTAGAACTGGATGTTAAAGTGTTCATAAACAGTGGTAAATGCGTCCTGCATACCAAGGATCCTGTCCGAGAAGAAGAGATTAAATTGTAAGTGTTTTCATTTATTTTTCAACACACACATCGAGATACACGGTCTTCAAAAATTGTGAATTCTGACACTATCTAGGGAATTTTAAATGAGACACTGTGCATTTTAATGGTCTATTTAGGCTATACATGAATGTTTACGTAGGTTATGTATGACACGGAAGATTGCATCTTAATAGGGTCTTCGCACATATATCGCACGGTCTTTTTTTTGGTTAAATCTTCAAACATTAGCGTATGGGTCGCTAAATTTGCTATAGGCATTTGTGCCATAGCATAGTGGCATAACATAGTGGAACGACGAGGATAGCGGCGAGCAAGCAGAGCGACATCGCGACGAGCAAGCCTCGAGGTTCCGAAACATAATAGAGCGGCGAGGATAGCGACGACAAGCCTCGAAGTACCCTAGTAGATTGGCTGACTATCGGGATACCTACATTATTTTCATTTGTTTATCGGGAAGTTAAAATGTTAAAAGCGATAACAATTTTGGACAGTAGTGCCGCTAAAATTTGGTATCTTGGTAACCAACAAAGTAGAAGATGTAGTGTACACGAAATTTTTCTCACGTGTCGTGTCCATTTCTTTCGCTACTTCATCCCATACATTATCCAAAATATACCGATTATGGTGATGTTTGTACTTTTGGTCCCATAAACTCTCCCTAACTAAGTCTATTAGTCTTTGGCAGTCCATCGTTTATTATGAGCGCGACCAAGCGACGAAAACAAAATTATTTGAATCGATCTCGCCGCTCGAGCAGATCCCTTTACTATGCGAACACGCACTTGTTTCCATAGGTTTATTCTACAAGCGACGTCGCGCTGCTTGCTCGCCTCTATCCTCGTCGCTCATGTACGTAGCCTTAGTTAAATGGCCGTAACCAGCTCAGATAAGCAGAATGTACATTTGCAAATTGCGTATCAGCTAAGATTATATCTTTAAGACATAAATTCAATCACAGATGAAATGTAAAATAATAAAACTTGTTTGATTGAATAGAAGACTAGATAAATATTTGCAAAATCCAATTTTGTAGTCTCTTGAACTAAATCAAATTATTTATTCCCAGATATAATCCTGGATTGTTTTGGATTTTTATAAAAGTTTATTGCAAATTGCTTGTGCTCCGCATTCGTATCATTTTGATTAAATTTTAAGCTTCTTACAGAACTTGAAAGGAGTGAACTCTCAGGAATACCGCCTGAAAATTCTGATATATTCTCTGACATTTCACTTGTTAAACTTGAATCTGATGAGGAGTATTACTTTTTCGTAACCGCTCCACTTTTATTGGAGATAATGCAATCCGCGTAGTAGAGCACTTCTATACAGGGTGGTCACTCTTACAATGTACACCATTGGGATCTCCTAAACGCAACGATATATAGAGTTGATCAAATGACAAAAAAGTTGAAGTTGAAAAGGATGGTGCAGGTCCACATAATGCACGAATTGTTAGAGAATATTTAAACAAACGGTTTCGCCATACACTACCATGAAAAGGGCATTTATTAAAAATGTAAGTAGTCCAAGTTTCATCAAAATCGGATTAATAGTTTTTTTGTTGTGAATATTTTTAAATATACATGTTTGCCGTTTTTTCAGGATATTTCGAAAATCATGACTAGGTTGAATTTCAGTATGTCTTTAAAATAAGCATTAAAATGCTCAACATTTCCGTCATTTGATCAACTCTGTATCTGGTTGCATTTAGGAGATCCCAATGGTGTACATTGTAAGAGTGACCACCCTGTAAAGGTCTTTCTAAATAGGCGAACGACTCTGACAAACGGTAGCTGTGCGAACGTTACAGACAATTTACTTGTAAGGCTACTGATATGCCACGACCAGCAAAGTGTTTATTCTTGTAACATCTTCTATTTGTTAGTTTGTTCATGCAATTTGTCCTCTTCATATGATAAATTTACGTCAGGCGTTTTAGATGTGCTGGTACCACGTATCAGTAGTCAAGGTGCGTTGTATTGTAAGTTATAATATACATTATTAAAAAATTTTACCCAAAATTAAAATAGTTAAAATAGGTACTTGCATTAAATGAAACGACAGAAAGTAAATACAAATTTAGCCCTGGTTTTAATTTTATTTTTATAATTTTTACAGTGCAACTGCACACTATATATTGGAAATATGTATTTCTTCATAATTAACTACCCAATTTCTGAAAGCAAAAACATTGGTTTTAGATACAAGAGCGACGGGTATCGTTTTTCAAACCACGACGGCGTTTCGATTTTGTTTTAAGTTCCGCGTGGGTAAATTAGCAGTTTTTGATAAATTTGAATAGTTTTTTTTTAAGTTAGTTTCGGTTTATGATGCATTTAATAACTAATTTTGTTCAGAATGCTATTGTAGCAATAAGTTTGAAATTGCCTACATATGTTTTCAATTTTTATATCACATCTGCAGTCTCTAACAATTTAACTCTCAGGTTAAAGTAATTAAAAAGTTAAAATAACTTAGTCAGAGGAAATATGATTTCCTTTGCTACGGCTGTTTATTCTCACACAGAGATAGATTATTGAAAGTGCATTTTATTTGTTTGTGCGTAAATGCACATTGATCATATTAAATAAGTATTAAATACTTACAACAAATAAATGAAAACAGAAGTTGCCAAATGGTTATTTTGTGGGCCCACGTTTACCCATTCTAGACCTTTTCGGTTATATTGGCATACAATTTTACATTCCAATTTTATTTGTATATAAATATTGTTAAATAGTTAAAAGATAGCTGAAAAACATACATACGTAAAACTATAGTAATTTATTTATTATAGTCTCTATTTAAAACTGCACAACATAAAATGAGACATATTGTCCTTACGTTACCCGGAATGCAGAAGATCCGTCGGGACTTGACAGGTTGTATTATGGTTCGGCTGGCTCCTGGCTCTTTTGTTCCATTTGCCCAAAACACGGCTCTTTTGACCCGTTAAGCTGATATAGATAGATAAAATTTATTAAATATTTACATTGGTGTAATGCATAAAAAGTTAGAACATGGCCAAGTCGTCCATTACTTGGGCAGTGCCCTAACATGGACATTCCCGAGCTAGCCATACGCACGACAACGTCAGGAGGTAATCTTGAAGTGGCGGTTTTCAATTTATTCGAGGGGCATTCAATAAGAAAAAAAGGTCTTCTAGAAGGAATGCCAAATACGCCTTTTGTTTTGACCTTTAATCTTGATAACGTCAGCCGTGGCGTAAACCGCTGGCAGTCACAATATGTATAAGGCCTACGCCACGCCCCCTTCCCCCCATCAGTGCAAAAGCTCACTGACGGCTATACGTAGGAATATGATCCCTTTAATGCGCATGCGTTAACTGCAGATTTTATCTGCTAATCAGCTGGGTGATTAAGGGCGCAAAAACGTAATTGCGGAATAAACAACCCATGTTTATTTTTCTGAAGTAGCGTATAAAACACGTTGTGGTCTTTACTCACGAATTAACGAAAATCCTAACCTCAATCAACAATTGACCAAACCTAAAAATTAATAGCTGATGCCTTAGAGTCTGCGCATGCGCATTAAAGGAATCGTATTCCTCCGTTTAGCCGTCAGTAAGATTTTTGCGGTATTGCCATTGTCTAATTTGTTATGGAGGCTCGTCCCTTTCAGTTACAATGTTATGGTTTATTACAAAATGAAATAATTAAAATAATAAGACTATTATTATAATGCTTTCTTTGCATCCAAGGAACGTACGCACCTGGTTATTATATTACAAAATTATTTTAAAATATTCGGCTTAGATAGGGATCTATTTATTCATAAAATGATAATACATATTTAGAAAACAAATAATTGAACAGCAAATATCCGTGTCGTATAACCTAAACATTTAAAAGTTTACACCTTGCGGGTCTCATTTAAAATATTGAAGTTGTAGATATTTTTTGATATAACTAACACTGGAGCTTTTCCCCAACTTACTGATAAACGAAACTGCAAGTATGCGTTTTACTGACGAACGAAAATTGCAAGATGATTTGCAGTTTTCGAACGTTGCAGACCATTTGCAGATTTACATTTTCTTTCGTTTAGGAAATATGCATGTTAATTTCGAAGCTTCTAACGCTTCTTGTTTAGTTTTGTTCCAAAGTTTTGGAACGTTTAAGACCGCTTGCAGACTTGCATCTGTTTTTGTTGAGGAAATATGCCATTAACCGTGAATCACTATGCACATTTTTTGAATTATTAGCGTTACAATGCAATTTGTTATTGTACTTTAGTAGTTTAGTATTATTACTTGTATAGAAATCGAATGAGGAAAGATAGATCCTCTTCAGCTGCTGGATTACTAGAATATTCCAGTTCTTCTAGCCCAGATGCCGTGAGAAAAAATAAGGAAAAGTTGACATCGCAAAGTAGCGCCTCAAAATTGAGAAGTAATCCGCACAATACATTAGTAGATTTGACGATCTTTCATATTCCCGGCATGGATGTGAAACTACAGTATCAATCAAAGGTTTGTAATTGTAGATATTAACTGATTGGTAATGGTTAATGTTGCTGCTTATCTGCCATCAGGTTATAATGGAGGACATCCCTCCAGACTCGCATTTCGATTTTGATAAAGTATTTTCTTCGGCCACTTCATCCAAACTGCCGTACAGTGATTCCGAGCAATCGAGAATCGACATGGCATTTAAGAGGCAAGAGAGCCAATCAGATTTCAAATCGCACAGCTTAAATTCCGACTTGAAAAGTTCCACATCAATGCATGGCATTACCAATCCTAATTACGGCCATTCTCCTACTGCCAGGTAAGCTGTTAGCTTTAAGAAATAATCGAAAATTTATGTCGCTTTTTTGATTTCAGCTTAGAAAACTTGCAATTTGGTAATTACACTCCACCAAGCAGTGACAATTTCAAATCTTACATGAGCAATGCTTATGTTGCTACACCGTCTGCTAAAAAACAAGGTATTAAAAAGGCTTCCTTATTTGCCTGGATGACCTTGCAAAGTGTCCCCGAAGAGACCATTATTAGTCCACATATTTTGGAATTTCTGGAACAAACTTTAGAGCCAATCCCAGCAAAGACTATGAACACAACTGGTAAGTGAATCTTTTTATGTATAATATATATTTAAATAGAAAAAAATGACATGTATTGCTGTTTATCTTTTGACCACTTTGGGTAGGCGGGAAAAGTTGCTAGTTTTTCGTTGCCTCAATGACAGAAAAGGTTGCTTTTTATGTCTTTTAGATGTTAATAATAGAAATATTTTCTAAAATCAACGATCGATTATAAAATTGCCATTTTCATTGTAAAGTGGCGCAAGTCTATTTTTCAAATAAGTCGAGTTAGCTTCATTTCCTTCAATTTTTACTTGAAAGCTTAATAGACACGTTTTTGCATTATTATTTTGTTCTTTGCAACTTGTAACTCGCCGCGTGGTCGCTTTAAAACTGGTTAGCGAAAGCGGCGGGGACAGGATCGCCATATCGTCTTTAAATTGTTCTCATCGATGTCTTTAGCTGGGTGGCTCAAGTCTTAACTGAGTGTCGATTGTTTCAGTCATGGCTTAAAATTCTTGTCAAAAAATAGATCGACCAGGGGAAGTCCTAACTCCAGCTCTTTTTTCAAAAAGATTTGAAATTTAGAAGTTCCATTCGTCCTGGGCGGTAGAAAAGTTTAATGAGTGGGATTTTTTAGGTCCGGGCCTTTTTACTTCTTGCAAAAAAGTTTGAATGTTTTTGGGTTGGAGAAGTCCTGATTTCTGTATATTCCTAGAATTGAAGGGAGCAAACAGGATCTCATTTGGACAAGCGAATTTCGTTTCAAATTAAATTTGGTTTCGCAGTTCAAGATTCCAAAAAGAGGGTTGCTTTGTCACCTCAGAGTTTACTGTCAACATTGGCAACAAAGCGGAGGATTGGGAAAAGGAATAAGGGTGCTAAAAAAATAAATGAGAACAAAAATTACAGTCAACGGGTTTAATTATTTCTAAATTAAATATAAAAATATATGTGATGACTCAACTGGTCGTAGAAAAAACAAAATATAATTGATAATAATATTAATTAATGGAAGCAAACATTTACTTAGTTTACTTCCTCCAGGGATGCCAGAAAGTTTAACCCGATCCAACAAGGAACCCCACGAAAACTATGATAAACCCTATGATAAAAAAATAAAAATCAAATGCTAGATTAATAAAAATAAAATTAAAATTAAAATAGTGTGAATTATATAAGGCGACGGCCTAAGGTGGTTGGTCAGGGATTGCCAAATTTCTAGCGCACTTAAGGTAGGAAGCCTAGGTCCTTAAGTGGCAACAGGATTGGAAAATTGGGAATAAAAAATGACCACAAAAATTGTTCATGCTAACAGCCCAAATAAACTCGAAATATCGGGGTTGGTTAAAGTAGACTTACCTGTTGATAACAAAATCAGGCATTTCGACAGTAGTATTTCTGGTTTGCCACTCATGGTCTGGCTAAAAAAATTCGGCACACGAACGGCAAAAAGTTATAATTTTCCATATATAGAGTTCCAGTTTGTTGCGTTATGATTTTATCTTTATCCTCGCTTGCACTAATCTGTGGTCGCTTCCGGTATAAAATTTGTCCAGTACTGTCACGTCGCTGCATATGTTCTTATTCCGTCTGGGCTGTTCCAGGTCGGGTTTTTCGAAAAAGGTATTGAGGCAAAATACATTTTTGTTGTTCAAGTAGCTATACTCCCCCTCTCGTATATACTCCTCCTCTCGTTTGTCACCAAGCCCGAAGTGCTCAATATAATATTTGTTCCAATTTTTGCGTTAAAATATCCTGCAATTATTACGAATTGTGTTTTTTCTAGTCTCCTTGCCTTTATCATATCTTCGTAAAAGGTCTCAGTTTCTTTGTTATCTGAACTCACCGTCGATGCATATCCGTGTACGATCTGTAGGCTATATCTTCTGTTTAAAAGTACTATAATGTATATAACTCTATTAGATAGTGCACAGTATTTTGTTATTTTGCATGGAAACCTTTTATTTATCAGGAGTAATACTCCTCCTATGTGGCTGTTTTCCTCAGAGTTTTTCTGAAATAAAGTGTGACCGGATTTCAAAATTGTCTATTTCTGTCCTGGCAAGCGAGTTTCGCATAGGCCAAGTATGTTCCATTTGAACGCTTTGGGAATGGGCTATTGTTCAAGGTGTTCTTGGGTCCTCATAGTTCGCATATTATATATGACTATATAGAAATAAGATGGGTTCATTTTCGTCCAATATTTGCCTACCCCAGACTCCGTGGGTCTGACTAATTATTCAGTGTGAGATTGTGAGTTGTTTACTCTACTCACTGGGGGTAATATCGTGTCGATACTCGACATCTCAATATTAGAAGGTTTGGCATTTTGAAACGCCGGGCGGGTTAGCCCGTAGGGTTGGGCAGGGATTGTGGATGTGACCAAAGATAAACCAAGGCTAGCGTAAACAGGGTCTCATCTCTGAAGTAGATCTATCACTTATCGGGGTCATAGATGAGTATCTACCCGCTACCTTAACCTTGATCTAATTTTGTGCAAATATCTCAGTTTTTAATAACCATTATTTTTTAACTATTTTTACTGTGCTCCCAAAACACCCCCAGAGGAATGAAGCCAATTTTGAATCACCCTGTATATAAAAAAGCAGCTTATAATTTTTTTTGTAAAACCTAATTTTTATTCCAGCATTATTTCTTGAGCGTAAATAACAAACAGCAAAAAGAACTTGCTTCAAAATAAACAGCCAATCCAAACTGCTTTTTTATGTTTTAGTTCGATGAATCGTTTTAGATGATTAAAATTAAATTGTTTCTTCCAGACACTTCAATTCTATCTTCCGACCAGGACATTAACTACGGAAACTATGTATATGCCAGTTTTCCGGTGGATGTAGTTGTATATTTCCACATGCAACCCAGCACTTTTAGATTCAGTTGTCTCCCGGTTTCACGAGTCGAATGTATGCTGCAATTGCCATCTTTGGATATCGTATTCAGTTCCAAACGAGCTGAAGAGGAATTATTTTCAAGGTATGTGCGTTCTTTGGCGACCCATGCTATAATTAAAAATAAGTAGATTATTGTTGCAAATTGTTGAAATTTATAGTGAATTCGGAGATGGGGCTCCTAATACAGCTGCAACCGCCGTAGGTGGGTTGAGTGTCACAGGTTGTTTATCAGATTTTTCAGTCTACATTTTCCATCCCTATGGTGGAAAGAAATCAGCATTAAAAGAAGCTCAATGGTCACCCTTATCTGACAGGTAAATTATATATAATATGCGTGCTATAATAGCACAATACGCGGACGAAACGACTGTTTACACATAGTATTTGTATGCTCAAGTTACGGAATCTCGATTTTATGACATCACCTGAGTTTATGTTGACGGCGTCCATAATCTCGACAAATGGAAAGTGAATCCCATGAGGACTAAAATTATTATATTTTTGCCCAAATTTACTAACAGTGAAATCTTATCGTCACTCGTGGTTCAAAATACTCCAATCTAGATAGGTGCATATCTTTAAAACAACGGCAGAAACCTACAGTATGCAGATATCAACATCTAAGACCAAATCGCTGATAGTAGCAAGGGAGCCCAGACGATGCAAAATCGTAATTAACGAAGAAATAATCGAACAAAAACTAAGTTCGCATATCTGGGAATACAAATATCTCTACGGGATCTAAAAAAAATGTGTACGAAAGCAGGCTAATAAAGCAGCTTATGTATCAGGATGTTATCTGGAGGAATAAAGGTATTAAGCTGGACGGGAAAATACACATATATAAGGCATGTGTAAGCAAATACTCACTTAATCACTAGAAACGAGAGCTGAAACACCAGAAACAAAAAGAATATTCAGAACAACAGAAATGAAAATATGAAGGCCAATAACAGGAAAAACATTGAGAGACAGAGTCCCGAACATTCAAATAAGAGAGCATTGTGGGACACAGGATATAGCCCTGGGTAACACAGTGGATTTTCAGGAGTTTACATAGCGACACCGACACGGCTTGCCGTATTGATACAGCGACACAGCGCGCAACACTTTTCATATGTTGGGAAATAAAACAGAATATGCTGTTTCGTGATCTCTAGTGGTTCGTAAGTTTGCTAGCGGTGCAGCGCTTTCAATGTTTTTTTCTTCGGTTTTTCTAAAGAGATACTATGACTATGTTTTAATCAACGGAATGAATGAAGTGGCAACATGTTTTCTTCTTGTAAAGCCTATTTGTCTCACAAGTGATTGGTTTCAAAGCTGCTGGGTCAGCCATAAATTATGACCGAATAACCGAATAATGACGAACCGTTGTTCCTTTTTGTATGCAAGGGCTGATAATCCAGTTAAGCTGGTTTTTTATGGCCTTCTTCGACGACTGATTTTTCATACAATCTGGTAGTAATCAAAAGTCAGGCATTTGCCTTTTGCTTTGTTGAAATATCGAAATCTCAGATGTTGTACCTGCGAACAGCATCTTATGCGAGCCTTATTCAACCGAGATAAATAAGAATTCATCAGTAATCAGTAGACCAGTATTTTGAGCACTTTCGTAAAGTAATCCCTGTCGAGACGTTCAGAAACAATATGGTAATTGCGCGTGGCCTTCACGAACTGCAATCCGAAGTCTGTCATCTTGAATGAGATTAAATGTTAAGCGTTGTTTAAAGTGCCTCGTCGTAAGAGGCCAGGTGTCGCGGCACATGGGCACACAGAGCGGCATCAACACACAAGTGTCATAAGACACAGTATTACCTAGGCCTAAAAGGATGTCGTACGATGGGGAATACAGATAAGACGCGAGTGGAACCAGCATGTTACACGAATGAACGGCCCGATTATCAAGCGATTTAAAACCAACGGGAACCAGACCACCAGAACGGCCCTATAAAAAATGGCGAGATAGCTGGCAGTCTATGTCACAAATACGACTGCAGCAGTAGAGAAAAGAGATCGGAAATGAATAGGCTCAAGGCCTAATATAAGAAGACCCGGTATTTCGTATTTATTGTATGTTTAATAAATATTTATCTACTATAAAAACTACCCATGTTTCCCTGTTTTAACAACGACGGCTCTAACTTTCCCGGTTATAATCAATTTGTTTGCTGAGTTATTCTATAGTTAAATGCAGTTAAAAAACGCAAACTTTGAAAACACTTAAGGCTAACATGAATTTTATTGTTTGTTTTATATGTGTAATTGAGTAATTACTCCAAATTTTAGTGAAAGAAAGGATTCGCTGTCGATTAATGTTGAATTCGTGAAGTTTCACCTATCCCGATCGAGAATGTTGAATTTCAAGCAAGAGCCCACCAAAGGTCTCAAAGGGTCCGATCAAAGTAGAGCCGTAATTCGCTTTTCAAGTAAGTACATCCAATTATTTATAATTTTATATAAGCGGATTAAAATAGCATGTTATAGTTTCTTCTAAAATCGACTTAATACGTATTTTTTAATTTTACATTATGCTTCTTTAAAGAGTATTTTCATTTTTTTTCACAAACATCTCAGTCTTAAGCAAATAGTACAAAACTATTTACTTACACTTTTTGCTATAGCAAGAAAAGATACACCCATCCGACCTTCCGAAGAAATAGACCTTCAAATGACGCTACTTAAAATCAGTTAATAATTTTAAAATACTTGGAACAGTTTTCGGAATATCGATAGTGACGTTAATTTTTATTTAATTTTCAGCTATTATTGATATTGGTTCCGCTTCCTTTAAATACGACATGAGACGTTTGACGGAAATTCTCGCATTTCCAAAAGCTTGGTATCGTCGATCTATTGTTCGACGAATGTTTTTAGGCGATTTAAGCATGTCTGCTACTTATAGCGAAGAAGATGACGTTATCAGTCACAAAACATCGCCAGGAACAGCAAATAAACACGACAAGTAACTATTATTATAAAATAATGATTGATTAAATCAGCATGTTTTTGAACTTTTTAAGGAATATACAGAGTTTCTCAATCTCGATAGTATATAAAAAGAGTTTTACATAAAAAAGTTGATATATTAATGACAATTTGAATGTGCATTTCATTTCCAATTTTCTCAAATTTCAAAATATTCTTTACGCTTACCGTAACCAAAACTTGAGTGTTCTTTTAGTAAGTTTGACTACGAAATCGGCGTGCTATCCGAAAATGTTACATTTTTTTATATAATGCAACGCTTTAAATTTTTACTACAGGTTGAGAATCTGTTCACATCTTGTCTAATTTCTGAAATATGATCAAATTCCCTTTCAATAGTTTCCATTAGATGAATTAAAATAACATTTAAATTCTCGGAATTTTTTGCAATATTGATTGATAATCTTTAAAATAAAACTTGCTTATTCAAGGTGTATAAAAAAAAGGAAAACTATCTTTCTAAGATGGTATTTTATACAGACCCAACCCAGTTCCCAACTTTATTATACTTTTTTAATGCAAAATCAAATACTAGTACACAGATATTCAGGGCGATTCAAAATTGGCGTCATTCCTCTGGAGGTGTCTGGGGATGTTTTGGATATATGGAAAATAGTAAAAAAATTAATTGTAATTAAAAACTGAGATTTTTGGATAAAACTAGATCAGAAGGGTAGCAACAATGTATTTCAAGGTAATCTACCTAATTAACATTACGTAAATTGTAGTTGTAATTACAACAAAACTTTTTTGATTGAATTACGTAAATACCTGTTGCTTCTTAATTATTACAAACTGTAGTATCCATGGGAAAACACAAAACAAAGAAAGTAACAATGACAATGAAATAAATGACTCAGGTTAGGATAACGTTGTCACTTTGTCGTCACTGCTACCAACCTTTTCGGGGCAAATGAGTGATATACCTAAATCTGTCACAGCTGTCATCAGAAACCTCTTGTTCAAGGTTATGTATCTGTTGGTTGATTCAGAAATATATAAACTTTAAGTTTATAATAAGTTTATTGAATACATAAGTCATAAAGTGCGTGTCCGATACGCTATATAGGTAGATATAAAAAGTGTTCGGAAATAGATTAATTGCACACTCAGTTACTGTCCCTCTCGGACTGATGCCGTCGTTGTGGGATTTTGACTTGCAACTAAATTCGTGACAGAAAAAGGCACCTTCGTTGGGAGTATATTTTCACTCCTGTGTGTTATTGTTTAATAGTGCATTTATTCGTTGCACACCAGCAGTATCAATTGTCAAAAAGCTATCTACCTATCTGTTAATGACAAAAAGTCCTCATTGCCGCTTTGACTTTTCATCAAAAAATTGTAGAAGAGTAATTTTTTAATATTAAAAATTTTCGCAATTTGAAGCAAAGATCGTAATTTTTCTTTTCGAACAGTTAAGTATTCAAATAGGCCCATCAAAGATGGGACCCTTTCCAAATAATAATTAATAGCAAAGTTGAAATTCGATCTTCAACTGTTAATATCTTCTAAAAATTTTGGAAAAAAAATTTTTCAATATTTTTCTCGTACTCCCCAAGGAAGCATCTATCACCCCTTAAAAGGAATGACGCCAACTTTGAATCACCCTGTATAATTAACGATATCGAGTTTGTAAAAATAACATATTGAGAGCTGTCTTATTTCATTTTCTAATTCCTGCTAATGCACCGTCAGGTTAGGATATACACTATAGACCATATTAAGTAAGGAAAATACCAGTTTATATTACGCAATAAACATAATTTTAAATTTTTTAAACGTGATTAATTGGTGTTTTTGCTAATTTAGAACTTCAACTACTCCACTACTTGGAGGTTCAAAAAATCGACACGATGATCATGCCGCGCAAAAGCATAGCAAAATGAGAGACATAGGTGAGCTTTCTAGCAACAAGAATGTTTCAGCATTGGTTTCCAACAAAATGTCTACGTTTATAAACATTTGTCTTTTAGGTAAAGCTTTTAGCGCTGACTCCACCAACACCCAAGACGATTCTCCCAGTCCGACAGACCACAAGAACTTAACAGCCTGGGAAACTTTGGTTCTTTTTGCTGTTAACTTTAAGAAACTGAACGTGCATATGAATATGGGCAACGTGATGGGAAATGTTGCGTAAGTTGCTTTTAAGTGTTTTTATCTTTAGTACGTTACGATTTAATTCAAGTACACAATACAAACCGTATATTATTACATACTGATTTTGTACTAAGAAAATTGATTGGTATCTGCAATTTGTCCATTTTTTTACCCTCGTACTATTGTTAGCTTATGAAGTGACTAAAATTGATCCTCTAATATTTTATTTCAGATGGATGACTAAAGACTTTAGGAGCGACGGGCGGCTTAGCATTGGTTCAACTGGCCATAAGAACCTTTACATTGCGTTTGGACTAGGTGGTTCCAGTTTAGATGCTAAAGGAGGTATTGTCGGCGGAAATATTGAAATTGCTAATATTGATACTTATGGTAAGTGAATTGTTCAAACAAAAATGTTCTCAGCATTGCAGAATAACGTTTTCGTACTTTAATAATTAAGCGAAACATAGCGAATGATTTACACACACTGCTTAATTATTGAAAAATACAACAGGGTGATTCACAACCTTATGGACACAGAACAGGGGCGTGTAGAGGACCTCCAAACAAATCGAGTTGCTATTTAAGTTTTTTTTTCAGGCCCATGGTTAACGAGATACTGGGTGTTAAAGTTTTAAAAAAATATTGGTATTTTCTCCTTTAATTCCTACAGTTTATGAGATATTTTGCTCAGATTTGTAACGTACTCGTAGGCTACTCTCTAGACCCTTTAGCCGCAGGTAAAATCTACAGGGTGTTTTTTTTCTGACTGACTTCCACCGAACAATTTTTTTATTTTATTTACTAATTTTGCAGATTTTTCTGTCTATCGTTTCTGAGATATTTATTTTATCACACGCCACGTCCTCACAAACCACGCCATCGCAACCGGTGCATAAAGACGGAATGCACCCAAGGAATCGTATCAACCGCTAATTTCAAAAAACTAGAAAAACCCACTAGTTTCAAGGAATGGCTTCGAAAGTCTATCTCTTGATAATTTTTGTCTTGTCTGACTGTGTCTGACTGACTGTGTCTTGAGCTTACCACGTTATTATTTAACCTATAACTAAGTTGCATTTCATCTGTGATTGAATCTATGTCTTAAACATGCTTAGCTTGCTCATATGCAGGTGTACAATCTGCTTAGTGTGCTGGTTATAGGCATACAACTTGCTTTAGAGCGCTTTAATGAATCGTTAACGTTTGAGTGAAAACTACAGAACAGGCCGGATTTGTCACCCAAGCTTTTGTAGTAAATTCTACATTTGAAGAGTTGCCAGCCGATAAAAAACCAAGTGGGTTTTTTGGGTGCAACTAGAAATTCCGCGGTATTGCTTGTGTGGGCACTATCACCGAGTTCTCAGAAAATGCTTCTATCTAATATCAACTTCGAATGTCCGATGTTTTTATTTCAGGATCTAATATCGATTGTTTTCTCCCATCCCTACTTACAGCCGATAAACCTCAAATATTGTAAATTACAGTAAAGAAAACTTTAAAGTTAACTCGTCAGTCATCCCTATTTTAACTTCAACTTGCACTTCAAGCTTTCACAAAAAAATCGGAACAAAATAACACAAGAAAAATTATAATAAAATTCATAGAAAATCACCCAGAAACTCTACATGGACTTATGTTTGTACAAATTACTCGAAAACGGAGGCAGATACAAAATCACTCCAAGAGATTTAAAAAAAAATTAAATTGAACAAGAAATTTAAAAATTGCTTCGGCCGAAATCAGTGGCCCACCACTGAAAAAGTTCGGGAGGTAAAAGGGGGTGTGCCTCTAGAAAAAAACATCCTATATATTTTCGCTACCAGTTGGCTTACTTATTAACCATGGCCATGGCTTATCTTGTTAACCATGGGCCCGAGAAAAAAACTTAAATGGAAACTTGACTTGTTTTGAGGTCTTCTACGCCCCTGCTCTGTGTCCATAAAGTTGTGAATCACCCTGCAATATGTCTCATGAGATTAGAATACGCATCTAGGTGGTAAACTTGTCTAGCTGAATTTAAAAAAGCGCTATATATGTTGTTACAACATTAATCAGACATTCATTTCAAGAGACATCAAAACAATTTTCAAAATGAATTATCAAATAGCAAATGCGAGATCGAATTTTCTCTTGTAAAATCCATACCAGAAATTCACAAAACATACCCAGAAAAATAAAGGTACTTTAGATAATCGACAACATGTTTACTCTACGAACTGCAGTTTTCCAGCAGCACAAGTTTTAGTCGGGAGTCAGCATTTTATCACAGTACAGGCTTTTTATCAATATGTTAGTTACATTGTTTCAAAATCAGCAATGGAAATAGTAAACGAAGAACATAAGATGAAAATAAATTAACATTTGCGGGCTTTGCCCCAAGTGCAAAATGCAATGAGTGATCGTTAGACAAAATTATTTAATTGTTGTTACATATAATGATTTTTAAAATATATTTCTATTATATTCAGTAACTATAGGAACCGTAGCAGTAGTGCTAAGTACAAGTTAAGACATATAATTGACGAGTTCAGAAGCTTTTTCATTTATTTTAAATACTTCAAGGATTAATAGCTCTGCATATTTTCTTACCAATTGTTAATTAAATTCCTTAATGAAACATTTGAATGTTTAGTTCATATTCGAGAAGAACCAGACGTCGAGCCGGACCATACGATTGGTTTGAAATTAAGAGCCTTAGAATTGCGCTTGGATTACATGGCAACGTCAGTGTTAATGTGTAGAGTCAGTGATTTAAATGTAAATCTAAGAGACGAATGGAGACTTAATAGGCCAGTGGTTCGGGAATCTTTTATGCCAACTCGAAGGTAATCAACGTAACATTCTGTTAAGTCATTACAATGTAATTGTTGAATTTTCAGACCTGCCAGTATATTTGTGCATGGCGTTCTCAGCTGGGACCAGTTGCAACTTATGATATCCAAATCCACTACGGCTGATCTACTGAAAATGTTCAACAAATTGGAGGAGTTCTTTTCGCAGCAATTTAATAGCAGTAAACGGGCATTCAGCGGATTTTCTTCAAGTAGACCAACTCGAGTAACGCACCAAAAAAGTAAGTGGTTTCCTGACATTCAAACATATTGTGGCGTAAATCCCTTCTCCATTCGCTCGAGTTACGCTGACCGCTGTACCCGTCCTGCACCAGCTAAGTACATTCCATAATCCGATATTCGTTATTCCTTTTCCTTGCTTTGGTCGTCTCCGTTTAACCATCTTGATTCGAGGTTCGTCTTGCGACTTTACAACCGCGATATTTTTATGAGGTGTGGTGGTCAACCTCACGCTCAACCCTCCTCCTTTATCCGGGCTTGGGACCAGCAGTGACATCCGAGAGAGCTACTCAATCCGCCCCCACAGTTGCCCCAGGCGGAATTAGTCTATTGGTTAGAGAGAGTTAACATTGAACCATCGAAGCTTCGAAAACATATGCASGTTTTGACCATTTGACCCACCTACTACCATACTTCTCTGTCTAAGATTTGCATTCACTTTCAATTTCGTTCGTTAATGTTCTTGACCTATGTCTCAAACGCTTTCAATCGAGCATCCACAGAAGAGGCAAAATAAACAACTCGCAAACAATTCGAAAATTTTCTAGAGTTTGTGGAGAAAAATTATGTGTATTTTCAAGACCATTTACCAATTGTTCTAATAAATCCAACCAAAGGRGATGCAAACTAGTATTATAGTGTGTATAATCGGAGTTGAAGTTTAGTTTGGGTTAGTTCTTCTAAACTTCATCCCSGATTATACACACTATAATACAAGTTTGCATCCCCTTTGATTGMATTTTCTTCAGTGTGTATAAACACGAAACTACGCTCTGATTAAACATTTTTCTTCCGAGGTTAACTTCGAGGGACGCACGTTAAGTTCGAAAGCAGCATGTGATTTGATGATGTTATTCTGAAGCGCTATTTCTAAATATAACGTTCGTCGATAGCGTGCGCCTGTTATAATATAAAGGTTTTACTGATACAACACACCAGTTGGAGCCACATAACGTGTTTGACGGGTAACATGCACGTTAAAGTTAACGTAAGTGATACAGCATGGGGCTGATTGTATGTTATACGTCATGAGCTTCGCTTTTAAACCGTGCAGCGCGTTCAATCTCTTTTTCTTTGATTTTACGGAAGATATATTTTTTTTTGTTGTTTGCCCGGCGGCTGGAGGAATAAAAATCTTCGCGAAAACACCCAGTGTTCCGAACCCTGGGTAGTGTTGGATACTTACCAACTAAAAAACCCCCTTTTTTGTACTACGAGTTTTCGGGAGTTATCCTTCAAAACTTGTAGTCCTCTCTAAGAATTTGTCAGCTCCGGCATCCGTATGCCATAGCATCATCGCATTCTCTCCATGCTAGCTGCTTGCTAGCATGGGCATCTTATTAATTTACACCTTACCTCTATGTGCATGCTAATTGCTACCACAGATTACAGAGCACTTCTGTGATCTGTAATTACTACTAACTCTACATAACCACACTTACAGCTTACGCCGTTTGCTACCTGTTGCCCTATTGGGCTAGTTAGTGTCTGGGCCTTTTTTTCCTGGGTCCCAGATCTTCAGGTGTGTAATTTACAAGATTTCGCAGCTCTTCGTTGGAGTGCCTTCCAGCTTTCTCGAAGTCTTCAGCCGCTTTCCTTGTGAGAAACTCTCTTAGTGGCTCCCACTCCAGGTCCCTGTAGATTTGGGAGTTTCTAACAAACCAGGGCGCA